GCTAAGCTTTTAGATAGAGAAAATATATAGTAGAGTAGATTACGCTTATTATATATTATATAAAGCTAGTACTTAATAGCTTATTAAAGCTATATAGTATATAAAGAAAAATAATATCTAATCTAACTATAATATATTAAGTATAATCTTTTTTATAGTATAAGACGCTTTTAATAAATATTACTATAATAAATAGCTTAAGATATTATTCTATCTACTAGTTAAATATAGTTAAAAGTAGATATTATATATTATAATTCTAAAAGTTAGACTAGAAAAATAAGACTATACTTAAGATAATACTAGAGAATATAGTATTATAGTTTACTCTACTATATAGTTTTTCTATTCTTATAGTATTTTAAATTTTAGAATTTATTATAGTAGAAACTTTATAAAAAAGTAAAATATTTAAAAAAATAGACTCTATTCTTCTACTTTAATTTTATAGCTACTAGATATTATAAGTTTTTTTTATATATACTAATCTACTTCTCTCTCTAAAAGTAAACTATATTTATTTTTTAGTATTAATTAAAATATAGCTTCTATAATTTTACTAGATAAGTATTTAGATATAGTCTACTTAGTTTAGTTACTAGAAGGTACTATCTACTTAGACTAGTAGCTAGAGTAAGTAAACTAATAGTATATTAGAAACTTAAAATAATCTTAGTAGAACTTATTACTATAACTTTCTAAAGAAGTTCTATTCTTTTTATAATAGTTTTTCTAATATCTAGCTTTATATCTTAGAATATATTAGTATAGAAAATAGTAGATATAGTAGAATTTATATAAGAATCTTATATAAAATCTTAGAGTTAAACTATATATCTAGTATATCTTAGAGTAAACTAATATTATTAAGATATAGTACGTACTTATACTTATTATAGATATTAGTTATAATATTACTACTTTATAAAGTATTATTAGCTTTAGAAATAATAGATAGCTTACTAAATATAGTAATAAGCTAGAATATATATAGTTAGTAAAGTATATATATATAGAAAAGAAAGAAAAAAGAAAATAAAAATATATATAGTAATTAGAGAAATAATAAAGTAGCTATTATTAGATAGCTTAAGATAGATATAGTAGCTACTAGTATTATTATACTACTAAACTCTAATATAGCTATAAAATATAATAACTATAAAAGAGTTAGTATATAAAGCTTAGAGTAGAAAAAGTTTTATAGATAGTATATAGCTAATTAGTAGCTTTATAAAGTAAAGTAAGAAAGTATTAGTATAAAAATTTAAACTCTTACTTCTTAATAGTACTTAGTAATACTAGGTAGAAATACTAGATAGTTAAAGTATCTTTTCTAAGTAAAATACTTAATAATAAATAACTATATAAGCTATAATAATAATAGCTACTATACGTAGATATACTAAAAGAAATAAATAAGTTAACTAGATCTATAATTATAAGTAGAAAGAAATCTTATACTATACTTTTAGATCTAGTAAATCTATAAGTACTATAAAGTAAAAGATTTTCTTATAATAGAAGTAAGTCTATAAGATCTATAAGTATAATAATAGTAGATAAATCTAGTAGTAGATACTTCTAGGTCTACTAGACCTAAAACTTTCTACTAAAAATACTCTATTTTAGTTTATTTTAAATAGAGTTTAGTATAAAGTTTTATATATAAACTATATAATCTAAATAAACTCTATTTAGATTTCTAACTATAGTAAAACGCTATATTCTTCTAGACTCTATATTCTTAGATACTTATTCTTCTAGTCTAAATATAAAAGAATATTAAGTTTAGTTTTAGAGTATATATACTATATTTTTTAGAATTTAGAGTCTATATTCTAAAACTTAATATAGTTAGTTAATTTCTTATAAAGTTTTTATAAAAAACTTTATTAAATACTTTATATTCTTTACTTTACTATTTTTTACTCTAGACTATTCTACTTCTAAAAACACTATCTTTTTACTTTACTTATAATACTTTTATACTTTTACTTTTAACTTAATTAGTATATTTATACTACTAACTTAGAAGTATAGATACTATAATAATAAATATATAAAGTCTTCTAGCTTTTTAATTATAATATATACTTACTAGTCTAAGCTACTAATATTAAACTATATAAGTATTTTTTATTAAAATCTAAACTAACTCTAAATAAAGTTAAGCTACTCTACTCTTCTAGCTTTACTAGAAAGTAGTAACTAGATTTATTATAAGATATATATTACACTAGCTACTAGCGTAGCTTTTTTATTTTCTATATATTCTACTATAAAAGCTTAATATAATATATTATATTAGCTTACTACTATAATTATCTAAAGTTTTAATATTTTTTACTAAGACTCTAGCTACTTATAGTAGTAAGCTAATATAATATATTATATTAATCTATCTAATAAAGCTAAAAATACTAATCTTTATAATAAAGTTATTATATATAGCTAATAAGTAAACTACTTTAATTAGCTAATTAGAAGCTTTACTTCTATTCTATATAGTCTAAGCTAAATAACTTTTACTTATAAACTACTACTTACGTAGTAGTCTACTTATTAAGTAATAAATATAGAACTATATATAGTATTAGTCTAAGAGTTAAAGTATAGAAGTTATTAGCTAAGTAAAGAGTAGATAGAGAAACTATAAGGTTAATATAATAAATACTAGTAATTATTACTATATACTAAAATAGTAGTAATAGAGTAGAGTTAGAGTTAAAGACTAACTATAACTCTATCTAGATATAGTAGCTATTATAAAGCTAAGAGTTATATAATATATTATTCTATATCTTTTCTCTACTTAATTATATTCTATAAGATAATTATTTTAAAAAATTCTTTCTCTTACCTTTCTAATTAATTCTATCTTAATAAGTTCTTAATAGAGTATTAATTAAGTTATTAGTAGTAGGTATACTACGTAAGAGAATGTATTTAGAGAAGAGTTAGTAAGTTAGTAGATTAGTACTAGATATAGCGTAACTACTAGTCTATAGTTATTCTACTAAACTAACTAAAGCGTAGACTACTATAATAACATAGGCTAGAGGTCGAACTATTCTATCTCTCTACTTTTCTTCTCTTAATGCATTCTAATTTATTTGTCCTCTAATTCTCCGAACGGACATCTTGCGCCCGCACTCGACTATGTTTCTCTTCCTTGCACACTAGCAAGCGACGGCAGCCTAACAGTTGCGAGAGCCCGCACCCGCGCAAGAAGACACGCAGTGTTGTGCTAAGCGAGCTCGCGGCGACCGACCAGAACATGTTCGTGCCCTCCCCCAACGAATATCGAAAGGAAACGCATGCGCACGCCCTCGGCATCGAAAAGTCGGCGCCGATTGCCTGACGTCATGTAGTCGCCCGACGATATCGATGATACGACGTCTCGCCTAGACTACTTCGCACGCGACAGACCCCGTTCCTACTCTTCGTGCAAACAGGCTCTCGCTAACGAGCACATCGAAGACAACGATGACCCCCACGCCCATTTGCCTGCACGATCGCAAATCAGTCGCAATAATCTACCCGTACGGCCAGCCCTAAGAAAATTACCTTTTTGTGGGATGTTGGAGATCAAGAGACATACACACACTCGGCGGACACAACTGCTTCGGAACGGGAGCAGCTCGATGGAAACGGGCTTTCGCTCTTGGGAAAGCTGGAGGACGTTGAGGCCGGCCTTGTGGTATCTACTGGACTCAAACAACGGCTGGCGGAGGCGGACTGGGGCAGGGTGAAGCCGTAGTAGTCCGACACATCGGACGAAAGACCAGTGGAAGAGCTGCCGTAGGCGCTGCGGACCATACAGAATATCGTTTCGCTGTCCGGTGAATCGTGACCATCCAACCAAGTAGAATAATAGTGTGCACACCAAGGTGCTGGAGCTGACGTTTGGGAACGATGAAACGAGAGTCCGGTTGCGGAGCGTGTGAGTGCCCTTCAGCCTGTCTACGACTTGAGACACTCAAAAAGCTTCGCTAACCAGGGTGACACCATCCAGAATTGTAGCTACAATTGCACCGGAATTGCACTGGAATCTCGCTTCACAAATTCGAACAGCCTGACTACTGGCAAGATCGTCGGTTATGTCATTCACATTGAGCCCTCCGGTTAAGCGCATCACATTGTGTCATCTCTCCTCGGGATGTCGACCGATTTCATCAACCACGTTGGCTACGAGTGTCTGCGCGCTTGACCTATCGCTGTATCCATCGAGACCAAGATCGAGAGTCGGACTGTGAAGGAGGTGAAGGTACAACTGGGCGTACGAGTGGCGGTGCAGGCAGCACGGATCGATGCAACGTTGCGGGGTCTTGTTAGGCCTTAGTTCCTTCGAACGAGCGTACTGCGTTAAGAACCGTACTTGGCAGTGACTTTGCTATGTATGAAATCATTTCCTGGCTTGTGCGATTCTATTTTTTCAATCGCTTTTTGAATCCGACCCCGATCAGTGGAGTTGTGACGCGTTGAAGATGTGTTGTTGTGGGGGTGGGACGTTACGCGAACCTGTGCACTACGCGCACCGGCGGTACTCCTCAGCTGAGCGATCTCTGCGTCAACAATTGTACATGCCACGATGGGCAAACGTTGGTATCTCTCACGACTTTCACGATGACATCTAAACATCATACTTTCAGCTACTGTCTGCCAAGAGCTATTGATAATGTACGGCTTACTGAATGCATTCTGATGATCTTGCTGTTCGTGCGGAGGAACTACCAGGATGCGCATTCTCGACTTTGGATTGACTTCTCAATCTGCAGTTTTATTCCTCTAGCTCCGGCTTCCTCTCTAGCCCACTCATGTCCTCGCAGATACGCATTGGCTGTTTCATGATAACGTGCGTGCCACCACGCTGAGATGCACTTTAGACTGTTATTTCACGACTCAACGTCACAACACTAGCTCGCGAATAGGTAAGACACAGAGAAATATACAGGATGTGCTGCTGCAGGCTTATTAGACATACATCGTGACTTCGCTTACAAAGTCCCCAAAGATTGCACTTTGTTGGTGTTCTTTGCCTTGTTGCGCTCTCTGAGGTCTAATTCTCTCACTACCGCTTTAGCCAATTTCCTCCTCTCTTCGCGATCCTTCTTCTTTATTTCATCCGATCCTGTCTTGCCTGATTGCTGATTGCGAAACTCTTTCCAAAATTTTCCATAGAAAGTAAGGTGCTGGTCTGCTTCCTCCTCAGCCTTGCGCTGATGGTGTTCTTCCTCGTCCTCAGTGTCGTAGAATTCCAGATCGCCATTCTTTTCAGGGAGGCAGCGGATCGTTTCAGATAGCTGTGTGTTGATGGAGTGCTGGTAACGGCTTTTATCCCCGGCTTTGGTACGTTTGTAAGCGCTGTACCCATCTAAGCAACTGAAAAACAGGAAGAACGTAAAAAAGGTGCAAAGTCCAAGGGCCAGTATGCCGCCAACAAAGATGAGACAAATGTTTATGATAGAGTTTGTCCAAAACATCGTGTATAGGTATGCAGAAGAATTGTTGATTTCAGAGTAAGGGAAAGGAAGATTGCAAGAAAGTGGGTGGTTTTCTAGTTCTATCCGGGTAACCGGAGTCTCTGACGCAAGCCGCGCTGTGCTTAGTCGTACCGGATAGCTCGGCCGTTTGGACGAATCGTTCATTGATCCCCGCACGGCAAGCAACGCCACCTTAGCCTAACTAATATAGGTTAGTAGATTATCTAAGATAATCTACTATAGATTACAACTTGTAAATATATACAGGCTGTTGCGGAAGTGCGTATACACTATCTACTGTTTCTCGAGATATGTGCGCAGCAAGGCGAGCGACGCGATGCGACGCGACAGCTCACACCTTCTTCACTATCCAAACCTGCGCCAGGTATGCGTAGCGCGTCAACGCTCTCCGGTTGAACCCGTACTCTGCCTCTTTACTCCGAACCTTCTTGCCCTCGAACGTCAGGTCGCCGCACTCGTCGCCCAGATCCTCGAACTCAAAGCCCATCTCTTCAACAACGTCGACAATCTCCTCCAAGCTCAGCTGCACGAAAGGCCCGGTGCCGTACAGGAGTGGGCCGAAGTTGATCCATTTACCACCGGGCTTCAGTAGCCTCTGGATAGTGTCGAAATAGGCCATGAGGTTGCGCGCCGTGTCGATGAAGAAATGGGTGACGATGATGTCGTAGTGACCTGGTTGATCGTTGAATGCGGTGTTGAAGTCGCCCTCGACGAGCAGAACACCAGGGTTGGGGGCGATGTTGGGCACCGTTACACTCCGGGTCATGTCGGCCTTCGTAGCATGGTGCGACATTCCGTCGATGAATGGGTGTATGGTCACCGCGTGCGCATCCTTTTGCGCTTCCATGTACCGGTATCCGACGTTCATGAACATTGACCACTCATTGATCGTGACCTCGAAGCCTGTCATTGCGTCAGTTGCTGCGCTTCTGCCCTTGCGCGCCACACTTACCTCCGAGATTGGCGACATCATGACCTAGCCGTCCAACGCCGGAGCCTGGAAGCAGTACCCTGAGTGGTGCGCTTTCAGTTGACTCTGCTTTGATGGCGCTCAAGGTGCTCAGTATGCATGGGAACGCTTCGTTCCTCTCTTTCAGACCTTCGTCCGCCCAGTCGCGTACGTAATGCTTCAGGGTTTGGGCTGTCGCAAACTTGTCTGCTTGGCGCTTGTCGCTCTCTGCTTGCTTCATGTGCTCATCCAGTTCTTCCTGGCTGATGCCGTAGAACTTCATGGCTTGCATGGCTATACTCTTGGAGACGGCCGCGTTTACATAGACCAGCTCTTCGAGTTCATCCAGCTTCTTCGTGTAACCGACGGTGTTCTCCAACGTCTGTTCCATTGTGAGCAACCGGTATCACAACGCGCAGGTGCGACCGACCTTCTTCTGCTTCTTGCTGACGCTCTTGTACATACTCCGCCAGCGATCCAGCTCAGCCATGTGGCGTTCGCGGTACCTCGTATATGCCCACAGCGCTTCGAGAAGCCTGTAACGCGGGTGGCTCGTTCCCCATTTACCGCTCTTCTTGTCCATCCTCTTCAGCAACTGTAGCTTCTCCCTTCGATGGCGGGGCGAGGCGCCGTTGTCGCTTGGTGACATTGCACCCATCATCAAGGGATCTTGCGCGACCTGCGCATTGTCCATAGCGATCTTGACTTCGTCGGCGTTCGGTAAGTTGCTTGTGGCATGGGCTTGGCTTTCCCCGCTCGATGCTCCGACATTAGCCAGGGCTACTGAGCTGAGGCCAGCGAGCAAGAAAAGCAAGGATGACTTCATCTTCCATGCGCTCACGGCACGCGGTCGTTCCGGATAGATGGCGCGACGCACAGTATCGCAATTCGAGTTTTGCGGCTGAGTACCGTGCTGGCGCCAAGCAGGCCTCGATGTTAAGCGTTAGATACCGCATATTGTGGGGTGTTCTTCGCGAAAGTATCAATCTCAAGAAGAGCGCTTGATATAGTCACGATACTATGCCAATGACGAAGCGTAGGAAGACAACGACATGGGCCGCCTTCCATGCTCATGCTTGACGGTATGCCTCTCGTGAGAGCTTACAGGCGTGGCTTCGATGAACATGTCGGGGAGCGGCTTTGAGCGTGGACTCATTGTCGGTATCGATTGCTTGTGAATGCGATGCCATAGTTGTACGGTTCAAGGGCGCGCCTGCATGCACCGGCGCGGAAGACGCGTAGAAGGTGCACGAGCCATCGTCTGAGCCACCCGTGGACCCGTCGAGCTCTCCTTGGCGGGTGACTCCACGCTCCGACACTATGAAGGAGAGCACAGCCTTCAGCCATTCTTACGCCAATCTCCTACAACGATAGCTCCTTTAAATTCGCTCACGGCAGTCCGTCTCCAAACATTTCGCGATGGCCGGCCATAGTCTCGACCGGCGAGAAGTACCGGGCGATAACGTCATCGCACGGAATGCGCATGTCACGGAGGTCGCGCATCCGCTGTATGGTCGATACCAAAGACAGAACCAACAGTTCACCCTTGACTCTTCAGCTACCCACGTTTACTTGAATCCTCTGGTACTTCGAGCTCTTTCTTGGTGATGAAGGGGAAGTAGCGTTGGGGGTTGGAAGACCGAGTGCAACATACCGCCAGTCTGCGCAATGGTTATCAAATGACTCGGCTACTTGCTGGGACAATGCACATAGTACCGGGCTGTCTAACACTCATACGAGAAGCCTGCGCCGTAGACACATCAGTCGCCCCATGCTTTATGAACGGACTGCCTGGGTTATTGGACTGCTGTCTTGCGGTCAGTTCGCAGTTTCAAACCGAATGTTTGGAAAAGCGCTCCATCATTGGCCACCCCAGTAGTTGCGTCGTTCTGTCTTTGAATGATCAGCTAAGAAGGTGAGAGACAAGGGTACGCTTGGACAAGCAAGCATCGAGCTCTGCGCATTAGTTCATGGAGAGGACCGCTCCCCGCCGCAACTGGGTTTGGGCATCGTTCGCTTGAGTGACGGTAAGGCAAGCAATTATGTGGTTGGTTGTGCCTCGTCAAACACCGCGACGGGATTGTTTGCGCAGTTCCGTGGAGATGAGAAGACTCATAACAGAATCGAACGTCATATCGAATCCTTCAAGGTTACAATACTGAGTGAAGAGTCGACGTGTTTGGATCCGTGCGGACTCACCTTCACTGCGACTTTCGCTTAGCAAAGCGCGACAACGGCCACAACACTCCGCAGCCCGTTCCCCTCCACTCGCTCTACTTCCCCCAGATGTCACCCGCAACACCAAAGGAAGCGCCTGTCAACGCTAAGGACATCGACATGGCTCGCCTCAGCGGTCCCGCTAACGCGACACCGAAAACCGATCGAAAGCCGAGCCGCTTCCGCGGACTCTTCAGACAACAATCTAGCTCGAGCGCATCATCCAGTCCCGCTACCCTGCAGAAGTCGCCTCCGTCTGTCACCTCCAGCCCGTTGGCGTCGCCATATGTGCGCCCAGGATACGAACAGATCGGTCTCCTACCCAGCGAGCAATCCATGCACAGTCTACAGGGAATTGGTGAGACCGAGGTTGGCGATGGTGAGACGATCGGCTCTACAGCAGTTAAAGGTGCCTCTCCAAAACGCCATGCTGAGGAAGCAGGCCGCGATTCCGTTGAATCTGAGGTCGCCAAAAGCCAGGATACCTCTCCACGTACAGCTGGTGATGCAGACAAGCGCAGCGGGTTGCCATTGGGTTCTTCCCACAAGATCGCAGAGGCCATGGACAGTAAGTGTCTACCCAGGGCGCTTCGATACTACATGCTAACATTGAAACAGACGCGAACAGCAGCCATGTCAAAGATGCATGGTTCGCGGACTCCGCAGGGCGTCAGATTTCGCCTGGTACGTCAAGTTACTCACGATGTCAACGCACTCACTAACAAGCTTGCAGACAGCCCCAGCTATCCCCAGCACGGCGGCCCCGTCGAAGACCCCAGCATGGTGCAGTACAAGACCACCAGCATCAAGCGCACAAACGACTTCCTCAAGACTGCTCGTATATCGCCACAACCCCCACTTCTCATCGACACCGCCGACGAGCACGGTTACTCCACGCTTTTGGATGAAGACGAACCCAGCCCCCGCAAGTCTTTCGCGTCCAACATCTTCGACGATGACAGTTCGCTGAGTCAAGGCATCCGCGAGTATGTCACTAGCAAGATCGCCGAAGCGCTGGTCGAGCACAACCGGGAGCGGCAAGGCGACGCCGATGCTACGGTCAACAACATAGGCCCGCTAAACCTCATCATCAAGATCGACGCAGCCGGCCTCGCCAAAGCGAATACCTCTAAGCGGCTGGTCGGGAACGATGGAAAGATCGGCGACTTCCCGGAGCGCCTCACCATCGGTCCCTTCGAGATTTCGAATGCGCAACTAGAACGAGACATTCAGTTCGGTGTCATGGCCATGTACGCGATCGCCTTCCTCAGCGCATCTCTTCTGGGACCGAAGACTCTGCTTCTTACTCTCTGGAAATCGGCGATCTTTATGGGGGTTTACGCCGCTCTGCTGCGTCAATTGTGCTGGACTGAGAAGGTCGAGCGCGACGTGCTGCTGGCGCCTGTGTGCTTCGTGGTTAGTGTGGCTACAGGCATGGGCGAGCAGCTGCTTGACCAGGTGCGCATGATGATGGTTGCGGTACTCGCTGAGGCTATCGAACGCGTCGCTCAGAGCTGTGATGTGCAGTTACATAGCGGGTAGATGACTCAAACAGTATGGTGATAGTTCATGTTCCGATTGGTAGCGGTCGTAAGCATACTTAGGCTCCCGCAGCTAAGGCTGACAGCTACATGAATGGTAAAACATTAAAATTCGTGATACCCTCGCAAACGGTGATGTAGTGAGGACGTCGGGGAAGTCGTAGGTCAGACGTTGCAGTAGAAAACGCCTGCATGTACGTCATAGCTCGACGTACGACCAGGCGCTGCTTCGTTGCGCAGAACATCCTCACCTACATATCTGCGACCTGACGCCCAGTCATCACTGTATTAGCTTTCCGCTATGATGTGCTTTCTTCTTCCTGGACCAGTGTATCAACAATCCTTTCAAACCAACACGATAGACTGTTCGCGAATGGTGCTGTCTCGAACCGCTTCCCCGTGCATGTATCCGTCAAAATAACAGTCGCCGATAAACTCGTAATAGCCTTCAGGCGGCTTGCCCAACTGGCCGTCAAACCTGAAGTTGATTTTTCCATCACTCCAGAATCCATCCACAACTACGGGATTGAGTGCATCGCTTTCTTCTGTGTTCAAATGCGCGTGCCGCAGAATGAAGGGTACGTTTCCACCGTCTAGAACCCATACCTCGTCCTCTACACGAACGTGCGGATAGCAGAGGCCCTGGTCGTTGTCCCCGGTTTTGAAGTAGCGACGACCATGTGTTGTGACGGAGATCATGTGGCATAGTGTGGCATTGATCGTATCCTCTTTTCCTTCCACCCATGCAAGAAAGTGTTCGAGCCAACGCATTGTTGCCGGACTAGTTCCAGGACTAGATTTGAGATCCCACGCGTGGCCTTCTCTATCGACTGGAATGTCCAATCCACTAAGCATCGTTCGCCAAAACGCCATGACGTTATTCGGACCTTTATAGAGATTGCTCTGCATACTAATGTGAGCTAACATGTCCAACGCACTCGAGTCGAGCGCGGATAGCATCCATCTCCTGAAGACGTCTTTATGTCTTATATCAGCATCGTCTGTCGGGGATATTAAGGTCTGTACGTCCTCGGATACAAAGGTAACTTTGCCTACGCGCCTGCCTACGACCTCAAGGCCCACTCGTCTTGCCATCTCACCCGACGACCGCGGGGAAGCTCTTAGCAATACAGGCCTCGACCTGTGGTCGTCGGAAGCATTGAAAACACCATCATCAAATAATTTGTGCCGATCGAAAACTACATCGACGTCCATGCGATCGCAAGGCGCATCAAAGTCCCGCACCCAGGACGCCAGTTTGTCCGGCGCTGGGCCATATTGAGGGCCTGTCAGACTCTTCAATGACCCCCATTTGCGACAAAGCATTGTGTAAGTAGCTTGAAGAAAAACCTCCTCTTTAGACAAAGTGTAATCCGGGGTGAAGAATCGGTGATCAATGACACCCAACAGCCCGTAGACCTTGTCGCGTGGGTCCTCACACGCCCGGAACCCGTACACTACATGTTGAGTTTGTAGGTCATGTCGCCTGAGCTTGCCGCTGACATCGCGTTCTCGATCCCAATAGAGGCTCCGAGTCATGGTGCAGAAGTCCTTCAGAGCATTGATCATTGTAATAGGCATTTGCGATACGGGGGGATTGCAACATGGCTTCCAGGCATGTTGGTCGTAGTATAACCCGCAACCGGTGACCGTCTGAAGCGAGGTCGTCCATGTATCGAAGTACAAAGTGCCTGTCTTTGGTAAGATGGCTTCTTGTACAGTCCAAAGGCGTGTCCACCAAGGACTTCGGTAGATAGCGAGGAAGCCTTCGCACATCATATTGGAGGCTTCGTCGGGCTTGTAGACAGCCGTGTCGGGCGTATGGGGTTGGAAGCATTGCCATTCATAGACATGGCGACCACTCGCTAGCAAACGTACGATTTCGAATGGATCCGCTCCTGTTGAGTCGTCATTCGCTCCATCGCCAAGGCGACATTGCGAGGCATCGCAGCCTAGCCAGATCCGTACCTGGGCGCATCTGAGATATATCTTGCCCATAAGGGCCACTTGGTGCGACTTCTCCGTCGTATCCAACTGATTGATGCACACAGCGTCTACCCAGAGCGGAAGTTCATTTTCCGGGTCGCGCATGTGCCGGAGCGCCTGCTCGAGATTGGAGGTAACTTTAACCGCGACGCCATCGACCTCGATCAGCTTGGTGACGTTGGGGTCGCCCCAGGTATATGACAGAGCGTCATAATGTGGTCTCTCGTAGAGCCTGACTAGCCGCAAGCTACATCGGATAGGCTCCCAGGCGTTGCCAGCATGCAGGCTGAGAATACGCAGGTACTCGCTCGGATGCGGTAAAGGCTTGTAATCAAGGTGGGCGTGGATTGGCTTGGCTTTGTTGGCGTGCACACCCATCGTGAGTGGTTGTTGCCTGAAGCCTCATCAAAATGGCAGCTTGGAGGGATGCAGCTTACCGAGTGATCCCGGCGAAATCCTGCGTGCCTGCCAGATTAACATAGAATAGCGAAGCGAGCCAAATCTGAGTCTCAGATGGTTTCAACCATTTCAGCGCCGAATAAACCTTATCCGCTCACCATTTGCTTAATCTCTTGTGCGCTGAGAAGTAAACGTGGAGATGCACGCACAAGCTTCCTCTTCCACAATCTTATCAACCCCCTCGCAGTCGCGATGCCGATCGCATTGTACCCCGCCTCGCCTAACACCTCTATTCTTCCAAAAGCAGTATCTTTCCCAGTGCGCACGCATCAGCCGACTCCCGTACCCCAGCGACAACAATGCGCAAGGCTAGTTCCCACGATACAGTTCACCCACCTGCAGGCCAAATGTGGCGGCCGACTAGCTTAATAAGACGGCAAGTCCGTCCCGCACCACCCGGCAAGCGTACCCCTTGCCTCGTCGCACGCCAATAGGCCGTGCAGCCAGCAGGAACCTTGGGACAGCGCCTGGCTTTGACATGTGCGACTGCGACCCGGAACCGATAAGAACAACATCAACAACTGCATCGACTTAAGGCGCGCGTCTGGGACGTTGGGAACCCGGACATTCCGAGCTTTTCTTCTCGCAGCGTCTTGCAGCGTTATCGTTAACCCAGCCCATATCCATCAAGAGACGGACACCCTCTTGTGCGCTGCGCGCCATCTATGAATTGAAGCCGTCCGCAGCACCCAAAATGGCCGACTTATCGCACACCCGAACGAACGACTCGATGATTAAGAACGCCGCGCACCTTTCGGAGGACGTCCCACCCGAAGACGACGAAGTAAGCGGGTCCTCTAACATGAGAATAGTCGACTTTGGAAGAGACGGTACCGCCGATCCCGAGAATGGAGTGGTGGGTGAAGCACACCAACAGCCACCAAGACGCAAAAAGAGGAGGTTTGGACTGGGGAAGAAGAAAGAGAGTTATAGCCATACGCATTACAAGGTCTACAAGAGACGGTGGCTTGGGCTGGGCCAGTTGGTGTTGTTGAACATTGTTGTTAGTTGGGATGTAAGTTGACACCTGTCACCGTCGCCCGTTCCGTTGTTTGCTTCTGCGGGTGTTGGGAAAGGGTCTTCCGTTCCGGACTTTGGGCATTGCCCTGCGTTGTCGATCGGTGGTGTTGGGACAACACCGCATGAACTTCATTCTTGAGCACCAAGAAACTGCGAAGCATGAACATAGCTAACACACAACATAGTGGCTAACATTCGCCCCCATATCAACAACCTCATCGCAATACTTCCACGTCCCGGAATCCTCCATCAACTGGCTCTCAACCGCCTTCCTCTTTTCCTTCGCCGCAACATGTCCATTAACGATTTACCTGCTCCACCGCGGCCCCAAACCATCCATCATCGCCGCATCCATCTTGTTGCTGATCGGCAACTGGATCCGGTATGCGGGTACCAAGACCAACATCTTCCCTGTAGTCATGGTTGGGCAGATCTTGACAGGGCTAGCGCAGCCGTTTGTGCTCGCGGCGCCGACTCGGTATAGCGATATGTGGTTTACTGAGGGAGGAAGGATTGGTGCAACGGCGGTGGCTAGTTTGGCGAATCCATTTGGGGCTGCGGTGAGTAATGACGCGGGAAGAAAAGAGGAAACGATGGCTAACAAGACATAGCTTGCGTCTCTCATCAACCCGTTCTTGGGCGACGTACCGACTACGGTGTTGATAGTATCAATCATCGCAACCGTAGCATGCCTCCCGGTACGTCTTCTCATACCTCCAGTCAACCTCCACAACATATCTGACTAACACCTCACAGTCTTTCTTCATCCCCGCGGCACCACCAACACCCCCCTCAGCTTCCTCCGTCATCTCCAAAACGTCGATCATGACCTCCCTGAAGCACATGCTACGCACCCCCTCCTTCTACCTCGTCTTCTTCACATTCAGCGTCTACACCGGCTTCTTCAACGCCTTCACTTCGCTGCTAAACCAGATCCTGTATCCATACGGCTACACCGAAGACGAAGCGGGTATCTGCGGCGCGGTGCTTATCGTTGTCGGGCTGGTAGCCTGCGCCATCACCTCGCCCATCATAGACCGCACACACGCATATCTCCTCGGTATCAAGATCCTATGTCCCGTGCTGTCGGCAGCTTATCTAGCGATGATTTGGGCGCCGCAAACCAGGACGATCGTCGCGCCGTATGTGCTCGGCGCTGTCTTAGGCGCATGTTCGTTTTCCCTGCTTCCGATTGCTTTGGAGTACCTAGTCGAGATCACTTTCCCAGCTAGTCCAGAAGTCTCTTCCACCATCTGCTGGGTCGGAGGACAGGTCTTCGGCGGCATCTTCATCGTCATCATGAACGAGCTCAAAGACGGAAGACCCGTGGATCTGGACGCTGTACAAGATGCGGGCAGGGATGAGGCGACGGGTGGGAATAGGCCGCCTGGACATATGCTTTGGGCGCTGGTCTTCCAGGCCGTGGTTTGTGCGGTGGTTCTGCCACTGCCGCTTATGCTGGGTGTGAAACGATTGGGCCTCGCTAGTAGAGAGGGCAGGCTGAAGAAGGATGTCGATGGTGATAGCGTTGTTGTCGCCGAAGAGGGGTCTGGCGAGGGCGTGCAGGGACACGAGCAATGACTCCTTGGGGACATGGATTCTGGTGACGATTACGAGGATGATGATGACGACGACTAGGGTTTCTTTGCAGGCTAGGTTTTCTTACCTTGTCTTTTCGGGTTTATCTTAGGAGGGGAACTGGTTTCCTTGGTTCGTCTTTTTCATTATTATTGTAAACGAGATTCATGTCCGCGTAGTATCAATCAAGACGAAACTTTGCGTCGTTCATTCATGATGTTGTGCAATGTCTTGATTTGGATCGGGAGATAGAAGTACAGTGATATTCTAAACACGACTCTAATATGTACAGTCATCCACGCATGTGACATGTCTTGATGCTTGCATTCATTCCATTCCGAAACGGCTACGTTCCTACTACTTGTCGTGTGCCAATATTGTATTGTTATTCGTTCGTAGGAGGACGAGGATCGGCGGGGGTCGGGTCTGTTTACTTGAGCTGGGCGAAGAGCTTGGGGGCGGCGCATTGGGACGCGCAGTGGGCGAGGTGGAAAACTGGAGGCGGGTTAGATGTTGTTGTCATGGTGAGAGATGAGCTGACGTACATTCTTCAACGCAGTCCTCGCTGGCCTTGCCGTCATTCTCGATCTGGCCTGTTACCCGTTGGGCGCACTCGTCGTAGTGGTGCTTGGGGCCGTGGCATTCTTTGGACTCGGCGCATTCTGGGTGAGATGGTTAGTCACTGTTTCGTCTGCAGTGGCGCTGTGTGTCTGGTATCGGGCTGTGTCGGATACGGTGGGTTCCTTATCAACACGTCCGACCAAAGCCGAAGCGCCCCAGACACGCAATTGATCTCTCAAGGCCGCTGGATTGCCAGATTCGTAGTCCGGGATAACTCACCCTGCTCAAGCTTCTCCTTTGGGTCGGGCTCCTCCTCGTCCTCTTCCTCCTCCTCGGGCTCATCCTCGTCATCGCCGCTTGGCTTGTGTCCCTGCTCGCCCGAGTCGCCGCCCTTCTTCGCATCCTGCTTGTTGACCTCGGCCTCGTCGCCGCTCTCCTCGTCGGTGCCGGAGGCGGGCGTCTGGGTGCTGGTGCCACCTTGGACGGGCGGTTGGCCTTCGGCGTCGGCCGAGGGGTGGGAGAAGGTCTCCCAGACGTCGGAGAAGAAGTCGGTGATACCCATTGTGGTGGCTCCGGGGCAATTGGGGGTCCTCGAGTTGGGGTGCGGGTGGTAGCGGAGGTGTTGGGCGATGGATATGAGAGCTGCGAGAGGTGTCATGCCGGGATCGCGAAAATGGGCGGTGCACGGGCCAGCGAAATGGCTAGCGGCGTCATGTAATTCTGAGCGATCTCAGTGGTCTCTTCACTTTGCGATCACAGCCGCCGTGTCTTTCTTCAACAATGTGGTTTCATATTGTAGAAGAGATATGACTAGTTTCTATGTCTCTTGAACGCCTCCTCTACGCTCACTCCGCTGCCTACGTCCGCAATTACCCTCTCATCCGCCTCGATCAGCTTCGGTAGTAGATCGAGCAGCTCGTCTACCTTGCCCCGTGGCACCGCGACCACGCCATTCTCGAAAGGGTCAATCATGATGATGTCGCCGGCTTCGACTACCGTCTCGCCGATTCTGACGGGCACATTGTGTGCATGAAACTTGGTCTCGGCCCCCGCGCCGATGACAGACGTCGCTTTGGACCAGATTGGCAGCTGCGTCTGATTTAGCGCAGTGATGTCCCGCACGCGACCGTCGACGACAATACCCTCTGCACCGAGATGCTGCATGCGAGCCGCCATGATACCGCCGACGACTGCGCACGACTGCCCTGGAGGCTGGCTGATGACTACAATGGTGCCGCTCTCAGTGTAGTCCGCGTACGGTCTAGAGTCGGTAAGGTTGGAAGCTGGAATGCTGTCCGCCATCTTGGGAGGGCTCGGGAAAGACTTGGTCGCTTTCGGGATCATGAGGAAGGTTGATGCGGGCGCGAGGACCTTCTTAGGTTCAGGCTTGGGAATGCTGGCCGTATGAAGCAGCGGCCCTGACGAGGTCAACAAGTCATCCTGTGCAATGGTTTCAATTGATCGTACTGATATCGGCGAGGAAGCCTGCGCCCGGTACGTGCAGCTTCAGTAGACCATCAGCGAGCTATGAGAGATTAGCTACGCGTCTAGGCGTGGGAAAGGTAAGCGTACATCGCATGCTGCGTACTCGTATAGCTTCTTCCATCTTGGTGATGCCATTGTCGTGATTCTGTAGTATAGAGCGCGAGACAATGTATATGATCTAGACGTGCAGCGCGACAAGCTATGAGGCTCTTTACCCCGCCAGCCGAGGTGCACCGCGACTCTGGGAACTATGTCTCCTCCAACATGGAACTAAACGACCCTGAGTGTCGCATGCGTGACTTCAGATGTGAACTTCTCAGTCAATCGGACAGTCGAGATTGATCGGTTGCACTTGCTTCCTCTACGTCATCGGCCAATCGCATCAAGCCCTGAGGCGCGTCACGGAAGTAGACGCCGCTGTAGCATACTGCACGTGAATAAACGCGATAACGCAAACGCAAAATATTCTACAAGATGATTATGTGATGAGCCGTGGCGGTGAATATGACCCTGATGGTGGCGCAAGGTCGAGTTCCGCCGTATCGCCAAGCACACGACAGATGCAAGGGTCTCGGAACTTAGATGCATCTCAGCACTGGCCCATTCTGCCACTTTCCACAGACGTGACGACTAGCTTTCCGTGGCCTCTCGCCGCCACGCCCAATCCACCGCCCACGCGCGCCTATTCCTTTTCTTTCATCTGGTACTTGATATAGTCCCTGCGGCCTCTGCGCTGCGCATTCTTCACCATGGCCCTCCACGCGGCCGGCGCTGCCCAGGTGCGTTTTGCCACGAGTTCCGACATCGCGTCATTGAACCCCTACTGACTTGGATATAGAAGGTCGCTTCTGTCACGTCGCAACTGTCGCTCACCATGTCTACCGCCCTGCGCTCCCCGTGGCAGGCCCTGGGCCGCATGCCCACGGCTGCCGGCGTCAGGCAGCTCACTACCGCATCTTCGTCTTCATGTTCAGGTAAGTCGCAATGAGGCACAGTCGGAGCACAACACTGACACTCTGCAGTACCGCGCGTCGGACTATGCAACCCCCTCGCCATGACATCGCCCGTCGCTGCCCTCAGGGCACGCCAATTCTCTTCCATGTCGCGCAACGGCCCTCTCTCGCACCTCCGCCAGCTGACCAAGCCCGGCATGCTCGGACTCAGCCTCGTACAACAGCGCTCGCTCTTCGGTGGCCCCTCTCAGGAACAACTCGCTCGGCTTGAACAGGCTGCTAATGCCAGCCCTACAAGTGCCTCCGCTCAGGCTTCCTTCTACTCGGCTCTGCTGCGCGGCAACTACCACCAGATCATCATCGACCGGTACAACACTGGACGTTTCGCCACCAACTCTACAATCGACAAGATGTACAACAACGCCTTGGCAAAGACGGGACAGGACGGCGGCGAACACTCGGGGCTCACTGCGAACCAACGCCAGGCTATCACCCAGGCTATCGGCGCAAACGCTGGCGGTGCTCAGGTCGCCAAGACCAGGGGCGGCGCTGGCGTCAAGGCCGACCCTGTCTACGTTGTTGTGGAAGAGTCTTTGATGAACGTTATCTTTAAGTGGGTCCGCTGGATCTGCGGCTTCGCTCTGGCTGCCTACGTCTCCCTGATCCTCATCACCCTCTTCGTCGAGACCAGCGGCGTCCTCAAGAAGGGCGTTGGCGGTAAAGAGAACGCCGAAGTCCGTCCCGAGCAGCAAAACACCCGCTTCAGCGATGTCCACGGTTGCGACGAGGCCAAGGAAGAACTCACCGATGTCGTCGACTTTCTCAAGAACCCAGACAAGTACAACAAGCTCGGCGGCAGACTCCCCAAGGGTGTACTCCTAGTTGGCCCTCCTGGTACTGGTAAAACTCTGCTTGCTCGCGCTTGCGCGGGAGAGGCCGGTGTTCCCTTCTTCTACATGTCTGGCTCTGAATTCGACGAAGTCTACGTTGGTGTCGGAGCCAAGCGTGTCCGCGAACTCTTCACTGCTGCTCGAGGCAAGGCGCCCGCTATTGTTTTCATCGACGAACTTGATGCCATAGGCGGAAAGCGTAGGTCGCGCGACGCCAGCTACCACCGCCAGACCCTCAACCAGCTTCTCAACGATCTCGACGGTTTCGACCAAAGCAGTGGTGTCATCTTCATTGCTGCCACCAACCACCCCGAGTCTCTCGACGAAGCCCTGCTTCGCCCCGGACGCTTCGATCGTCATGTCCAGGTTGAACTCCCTGATGTAGGTGGCCGGCTGGCTATCCTCAAGTACCACACTCAGAAGATTCGCCTCTCTCCCGATATCGACCTTTCTACCATCGCCCGTGGCACACCTGGATTTTCTGGTGCCGAGCTAGAGAATGTTGCCAACTCGGCAGCTATCCGTGCTTCCAAGATTCAGGCAAAGTTCGTCTCTCTCGACGACTTGGAATGGGCCAAGGACAAGATCAGTATGGGCGCAGAAAGGAAGAGCCGCTCCGTACCACTCAAGGACAAGATTCACACCGCCTACCACGAGGGTGGCCACGCGCTCGTCGGTCTCTACAAGCCTGGCTTCAACGATCTGCACAAGGCGACTATTCTTCCAAGAGGTCACGCTGCCGGTATCACCTTTTTCCTTCCGGAGGAAGAGGGCCACCACACTCGCAAACAATACATACGCCAACTGCAGGTCTCTCTAGGTGGCAAAATTGCCGAAGAACTTGTATATGGTGAGGAGAATGTATCCACCGGAGCTTCTAGCGACATTTCCAACGCAACGAGGATAGCGTACATGATGGTCACTCAGTGCGGTTTCTCGGAGAAGCTCGGCAACGTCGACTACAAATCCAACTACGAGATGGTCGCACCCGAGACCAAGCGAATCATCGACGACGAGGTGCGAAAGCTGATCGATGAGGCAAGAAAGGATGCGAAGGAGCTGCTGCTGTCGAAGCGCAAGGAGCTCGACAGATTAGCCGATGCGCTTGTGCAGTACGAGACGCTGGACAAGAAGGAGATCATGAAGGTCATCAAGGGCGAGGACCTTCCTGGCCGGCTGAAGGCCTTGCCTGATGCGCCTATCAAAATCCCAGATAATCCACTCCCCACGGCGATAAGACCAAGGGGTGATGGTGGTGACGGCCCAGAACCTCCCGCTCCTATACCTGCGTAGTTAGCGGGATGGGAATGATGGATGTGCATAAAAGCACGTTGTTTATGAGGTGAATGGCGTTCGTTCGACCTCTTCCCTCTCGTTGGAGGGTTTCGCTTCATTGGTCATGTACAATATTAGGAATACTTTAGCTTAGCGAATACAGCGAGCTATTGACCACCTCGCGCCATTGACAGTGGTGAAAGTCGTATATGGAGATGACGGATAGAAAGGGGTAGATTGACGATCGTAAGAAAGGAATGAGGAATGAAGATAGACACATCAACTCAAGCAGCGTGCGATCCAGATGAAGCTGCCGGGTACACTTTTGGAGGTCCTACGCTCCAACCTCCGTAAATTGGACAAAGAAATCGCGATTGCGATGTATTCACTCATGTTGCCAGTGTGACGACCAGCTTTCACTTAGCGATAGCCAAATGAGAAATGGCGAGTACCTGAGCCCAGTCCTCTCTGCATGCACTCTCAAAAGTCGCGAAACAAGAACAACCCACTATGTACCTTCGAGCTTTGGCAATCACTGCAGCCAACTCAACTTCCTCACGGTCATTTCTACGGCTCCAGCCCCCTCCTTCTGTTCGACCTTGGAATTACAGCATGGCCAACTCCCGTAACAACAGGACTACGCCTTCGGCATCACAAAATATGAACGACGTCGTCGACAAGTACGCGTCACCGGCTATGGGGTCATCACTACCAGAATACTCGCGACAGTCATATGATCCTGTTCTGAGCCGTCGTGGGCACGGTGATGTCAGCATGTCTTCGTCGCCATCGCCATACCCTCTTTCAGAGCGCAGGAGAGCCAACCTCCATCAATCAACATCCACGCATTCAGGCTATCTCGATCGCGCCCAACTCTTCGGTCGCACACCTATTTCTATCCAACACAACGCACGTCGCGCCCGCCCTTCTTCAACCTCGAACGAACGAAACATACGAAAGCGATCCTCGCGTACCCCGACTGGTGAGTGGGCGGAAGCCGGTCTTCCTGAACCACCTGTCGAGGACAGAAGCGTCTCCTTGGACGTCGCATCAGGCCTGATCTGCACTCCCAACGGCATCACCACGCTTGACGTCGATAAAAACACGCCAGGTCGCTTTTCACCAAAGGCCCAGTCGCCTACTTCCCGCAAGACTTCGCCTGCTGAAGATGCGTTAAGAGAGCAGTTTGAGAAGGGTAGGGTAGAGCTGGCTAGGAATCTTGCGTGGCGAAGTAGTTCGAATGGGAAGTCGAGGTGGGCTGGCAGGGGGTTTGATACGAAGCGTGAGGGGTATGTGGCTCCTAAGACACCTTCTGTTGCTTCTGATGAGGAAGAGGAGGAGTTTGGGTATGTGGATCCGACTAGTGTACGGGATGTGCTTGCGAGGGTGAAAGCGAGGGAGGCGACTGGACGTACTCAATTGCCTTCCGACGATATGAAGCGTGGGAGGAATGGACAAGAGCAGCGCGAAAGGTATTCCGACGTCGGTGTCCCGCGCCGCAGTAAGAATGCACTCCTTGCCAATCCATCGGATCCAGATAAGCCTTTACCAAAACTTCCGAATCGCCGTGTGTTTTCGCTAGTCGAACCGCCGCCCATGAAGACACTAACTCGGAAGCGTCCATCTACAGCTAGCGGCCGGACTAAGCTTTCGTTCTCGCCCATCACCCCTGCCATCAACGTGGCTCCCCAGCCAACACGCCAGGATCTCGCTATCACGCCCGTTTCCACCTATCTCTCCTTCAGCTCCTTCAGCTCCGTCACAACAACAATATCCCAACCACCTATCCTTCCACACAATCGCACTGGTCTCACATTCTCCCAAGCAATCGCAATAATCTACGGCTGCATGGCCATAACAGCATCACACCAAGCGCTTCTTGGTCTAGGCGGTGACATCGCTGCTAAGGACTTGATCATGGGTCTGTACGGGGCGTTTATGCTCGGTCTTGCTATCTGTGTGGTCTTGCAAGTGGTTTTATGTGCTAGACTGTGATGGGTGCCAGGGGACGTTGGGTGATAGTGTGGGTGGGCATGGGGATTTGCACGTGAGGTCTTTTGGGAGTGGTTTGAAGATGGAGTTTGAGAGTCTCGCGGTCAGGTGTAGACGCGCGGCATGCATACTTTTTGAATGCCGGTATGGGGGAAAGGCTGATGTTTGAATAGACAATGAGTTGCTCTTGCGATGTGTAGGGGCATAATGTAGATATAGAAATGATGCGTATCGCGGCATAGTGAGTAGTCATGTAATTTGAATGTCGATCGTTGATATCATTTCGTATATGAGGTTTTTTAGCCTTCCATGACGTTCGTGAACGTATCCATGTGAACCCCAAGATGTTCACGACCATCACGTACCGCTTGCCCTCCCCTCCCCTTCCCTCCACCACCAACCCAAGTCCACACCCCATCCACACCCACATCCCCTCCCCCGTCCATACCCCCAATCACTCCTACGGCCTCCTCCTCCCCTCCTCCGCCTCCCGATCCCCCATCAACGACTCATCCGCATCCCCATACTCCATAACGCGCCTACGCGCCTCCCTCGATATCGCGTCGTTCTCTTCTTGCACGCGGCGCCGCTCCGCTTCAGCCCGCGCTTCGATAAGATCCTGGACGTACATCGTGGCGTCGGTGAGCTTGGTGATGATGAAGTTGGCGATTGCTCGCAGGGAGCCGGGGCCGTTGCTGTCCATTGTGTTTTGGAAGGTGTTGTAGGGTATTTGAGTTGGGGATATGTGAGATATGTGGGATATGTGAGATATGTGGGATATGTGAGATTGAGTGGTGTAAATTATGAGATTTTGGGAAGTCAGAATGAGTAAGAGTTGGGGATGTATGGTGGTTGCTTTTGTTGCGGCGATGGTGTGTATAGAAAGAGGTGAATTGTGCCTTCACCTGCTTCCCATGGTACGTGGTGGACCCTTATCCGCCTTCCACGTTGATACGTCCAACCTGCTAATGTGTCGCTTCGCGAAGTTCACTACCGCATTCACATTCGATTCCAGCCTTGGAATGCGCCCGCTAACCTTCACTCGTTGCGCTGTTCGAAATTGGTGCCGACATGCATGCAATACTAACAGGTCAAGACTTGAGAAAGTATCTCCTTCGTCTCCTACTCCACATCCTGTTCGTTCTTAAAATACCATAGCCCCACCATCAACAATGATATCCGTCCCATTGATATACCTCCCTGCATTACTACACAGCAACACCAACGGCCCCGTCAACTCCCACGGATGCCCCATCCTCCCCATCGGATTCCTATCATTCCAACTCTTCCTCGCCCTAATCAATCCATCGCCATCATTCAAAATCGTGTCCATATACCCCGGGCTTAAGCAGTTCACCCTGATACCATAGCTACTCCACTCCGCCGCCAGACTCTTTGCCAGCGACAACAGCGCCGTCTTGGACGAATTATACGCGCATTGCGGCTGCGGGTAGTTTGTGTGATGCGCCGAGATACTCGCTGTAAACGTAACACTACCCCCCGTCCCCTGCGCACGGAATTGTTTCGCGACGGCTTGTGCGCAGAGGAAGGAGCCGGTAAGGTTGATATCGTGCGTCCGCCGCCATTCATCCGCCGCCATCTCAATCGCGTGTGTGCAGCCTACGACGCCGGCGAAACAGCAGAGCATGTCTATGCTGCCCAGCACTTTTACGCTACTTTCTACGGCTGAAGCAATGGCTTTCTCGTCGCGTACGTCGACGGCTTCGGTTATGATGCGCGCGTGCGGGAACTTGGAGTGCAGTTTCTTGACGCTTTCGAAGGCTTGGTCGGGGTTCATGTCCCAGAGGGCGAGGCCCGTGGCGCCGTGTTCGAGGAGGGCGGCTGCGGCTTCGAGGGCGAGGGTGCCGGCGCCGCCGGTGACTATATTAATGCTGGTTAGTAGGATGGTCTTGGTGCGTGGTGGGTGTAGATGCAGATGGGTGAGGTTACCCTAGAGGCGTTCACGTACTGATCGCATTGCCCTTGACCTGGAACCTATACTGCGCTCTCTCTGCCGTAGACAAGTTCTCCAAGGGCGGTCTGGGTGCTGTAAGAGGGTTGTCGGCTGTTGACAGGGTCATCTCTGGGAGCTGTCGGTTGACGAGCGCGGCGCGGTCTTCTGCGTCTCCTGCCATTTTGATTGGATTTCCGCGAAACGATGGATCGAATGAGACTTGTGGCGTGTGATCAGGGGAATTGCGGGCTTCAAGATGGCCGATTCGGCCTTCTTATGGACGCGTTCGGACGACAGAGGTCCGTTTGTTCGGAGTGTTGGTGGAGCGCGCCCAGCTCGAACATGACGTCGGAAAGGGTCCGCCCCACCAGAGAGTGAGGAAGGTGTGCCGAGCGCGGGGTTCACTGCGACAACACGATCTCGATTTCCACGGTGTTGATGTACGACCATCAAGACCTCATCAATGCGCCTCGGCGACCCATTCGCAGCACTACTGTGTTCAGACTCGACATTCCCACAAGTCGCGATGTGCGCATCTGATCCGATCTAGCAATTCCACACAGCGCAACGTGCGGAGCGACTAATCACTGAAGGGTGAATGCCTTGATCAACATGTGCGCTCAGTACAGGCATTCTCTTTCACCCAAGACCTATAGTGGTGGTAAGCCGACTCTAATCACCTCTATCATGTGCTTCATCCAAATGAGTGAGATCCCACTCAACGGCATTCTTCATTCAGATCAGCTCAACCATGAAATACTCATCACAACCAACTCCGTCAACCCTCGAAAGGGACTTCGGACCCGAATGGTCCGACCGCCTTCGCACAAGTATCCCTTCCAACTCAGAGCTGATGATTGTCGAACAAGAAGCATGGAAAGATCAAGCTCATTGGAGAGACAACGACTCAGGCACCCCGAGACCTGTTGACCCATGGAGGCTGATAACTCCACCGGGAACGCCTGGGAAAGAAGAAGGATATCTAAGAGAAGTGGCAAACGATGGGTTTACGCTCGAACAGAAGTACGATGCCGCGAGTTGGGCGCTGGTCAAATACGATGACAATTTCGACGGTTTCGAGAGAGTCAAAGCGCATCGATTGCGCTGTAGTCTGGAAAGGCAAAATTTAGCGAAGAGGTTCGTGTGGTATGTTTTTTTAGCTGTCCTTCTCCATGGTATTTGGACGCACTGGAATGAGTCTGAGAAGCGCGGCATGTGCGACTGCCATTGTCCGTACTGTACTGCAGCAGTCGACTGATGTTGTGGGTTTGCTGGAAGAAGTCGGATGAAGTGAGCCAATGTATGCGACGCGCTCTTGAACATACCATGAGCCGACCGAGATGTTTGAAAGATGCGTGGTCTTCTTCACGCGTTCTTGTACGTTCTGGTAGTTAGATAGACGAAGAAGTCGCTGTGTTCGCATATAACAAATTGTTTGATTCACCGTGATGATCCGTAAATGCTGCCTCAATAGCAACTCCAGACTCCATCCATCACTGTGCTGCGCTCGATGCAGCTAAGATGCGGGGTCTCCACATCGTACCTTCCGCTAGTGATAGTTCGATCTGCATCATGAAAACGTACAACGACCCAGCTGATCAACGCTTCTTGATCATGACCGGCAGGCCCGGGGTCTTATCACATCTCTATTCGCGCCCCTTTCCGACCACGTCCAATGGCAAATGAAGACAGTCTGGTAAGACGCGGTAACAAAAGAGCAAGAACGCGGCACGGGTCAGTACAGTCCGAAGCACACCACAAAGCACAACTTGCTGACGCACATCTCCCAGCTGCACAAACTGCAAGCTCAAAAGACGCAAATGCGACGAAACGAAACCCACATGCGGTCGCTGCGGTAGCAAAAACGAACAATGTCAATGGGCTTCTCGCCTCACCTTCCGGGCCGAGAACGCTTTAGGTGTCGGACCATCGTCGCTGCATCGCCCATCCGGACGCCCACCAGCGCGCTTTAAGATTAAGGATGTGACGGAGGAAGTTATACGCGACTATCGGCATTATGATCCAGTGGACGACGTTGATACACCAGATCGATTTGATGATCGGCAGACTCCCCCTTCTACTTCTACCACCATATCGCCTGCTACAGCCGACGAGCAGGTACCTCCGCATCATGCTCACACGTATTGGACGTCAAACACGCCTTTCTCGGCTGCCGAGAATACTCTAGTTACTCTCCAGTCGACCCAGTACGTTGCTTTACCCACTCCGGACGATATTGGATCTATCTGGCACAGTCCTGGCACCACTACGTACCTGGACGACAGCGTGTTTCTACCAGGTTCAGCGTATCTCGATGCGCATTCCACATTTCGGAGCCATTTGATACAGGAAGTGAGATCTAATGTGCCGACGAGAGAAGTTACACCGGATGCTGTGCGTGTTGGACAGGGCTGGGAAGAGTCACAAGCAAACTATGCGACAGATGCAGCGAGGCACGTTACGGAAAGTTCTCTCGATACCACTACCGTCGATGAGTCAGAACCGACGAACGTCTCACCGCCTCATCTGTCCGCGGAAGACGACTTCGAACTCTGGAAAAACTGGCTCGACGAAGTAGCACCCTGGATCGATAAATTCGACCCAGAGCGCCACTTCCAACGCACACTACCCATCATGGCACGCTCACATGATCACTTGCGGTATTCGATGCTCGCTCTCTCGGCACGGCAAATAGAGCGGAAGAACAACAGTAAACACACATCACGCAGTCTAGCGCTCTACCAGACAGCCATCCAGCTCGTCCTCCCACAACTACACACACGGAGCACGCCGGTGATAGCATCATGCGTCGTGCTATGCGTACTCGAGATGCTGAGTAGCTCGGCGAAAGCGTGGCATCAGCATCTAGATGGATGTGCGCATTTGCTGGAAGCTGTGGGGATTAATGGCTTCTCAGGCGGCGTTGATCAAGCGCTGTTTTGGTGCTTTGCTCGTATGGACGTCTGCGGCGGGCTTATCGCATCGTCTAAAACGCTCATACCGGTAGAGCACTGGGCTTCTTCAGGAATGGGTCTCGATGCCGACGTGGATCGCTTCCGTTCCGTTGGCGACTACAATGTCTACGCGTGCGAAGCCGTGTATCTCATTGCTCAAATCCTTGACCTACTGTCTTTCCATTCAAACCTAGCCGGTCGCGTGGGCGCTACACCACGCTTACCCACAGACACAGATGCCGCATACACCGCACGCTGGACCCAACTCTGGCACCACATCTCAACATGGTACACCACGCGCCCCGCCGAGATGCTCCCAATCTCCTCCTTCACCCCACCCACCTCCCCCTTCCCGCGTCTCCTCTACAGCAACCCCGCCGCCATGTCCGGCAACCAACTCCACCACACCGCCTGCATTTTGATGCTCCGCCACAAACCTCCCAACACTACCGTTACACCCAAGCCCAACTCCGTCTTCTGGCACGCAAGACAGATCTGTGGAATCTCGATTAGCAATGATGATCATGCTGCTTGGACGAATGCGATTCAGCCGTTGTGGATTGCGGGACAGTGGATGAGCCATGAGAGTGAGCAGAAGGCTATTTTGCAACTGCTGGAGAAGATTGAGAGACTTTCGGGGTGGAGTACGAAGTGGAGGGCGGAGGATTTGAAGGAGTTTTGGGGGTAGGGCGGAGGTGGTGTGAGGCTGGGGGTCAGCCTGGCCTTGTACAGTGCAAGTGGTGGCGATGTTGCGCGAAGCCTTGTGTTGTTTGCCGCTGGAGGCGCATTTGTTATTCTCGATGGGTGAGGCTCCCAATCATACTCGACGAACTTGGAGGCAGAAGTTCAGCTTTAGAAGCTCAGTGTCCAGTCGCAAAAGCCACTCGTGTTCACGGGCTTGGCGGCATCTTTCAGCCCCCCATGTTCAGCCTCGTAGCCTGGACTATTATGTTAAAAGTCTTGTTGCTGCCAGATGTTGCGACAGTCTAATCCATATCCGCATAGCCTTGTTATAAGTCGAATCCGCCGAAATGGGCAACAGTTTCGGTTTCCTCAGAGGCGAAAGTGGAAGCGGATTTCAGTTCAACGTAGTGGAGGCTTGCAAGGCTGAGGATGTGGACCTCGCTCAGGCTTGTAGCCTGACGTTTGGTGCGGATCATGACCTAGTCTCGATTGGCAATGTTACGAGGGGAAGAATGGTGCCGCAGCCTGGTATCGCTGGCATTGGAGTAAGTCAAGATGGCAGATGCAGATATTGTACGCGAGCTAACGTCGCTAGATCTGGATCGCGATGGTACTGTTCTTCGTTGTTGTCGCGATATCCCTCGTCTTTGTCTTTATCGAACTCTGGATTAGAGCAGATGTCTCGTAAGTACCTTGAACTGGTTGTTAGACAAGGCTAATCATCGATGTAAACAGTCAGTTCGGCAGTGCCTTCGCAAGCTTCAGAGACAAACCCAACAACAAGACTCCCGAGAACCCGAACGCGGATCCGACATGGAAAGATAGAGTGCGTGCAGCTGGCCGGACTTTCGTCTTGGGTGTTGCAGACACTCAAACCATCTTCGTCGGAGCTTTCCTTCTCGGGTTTGCTGGTCGGAGCAAGTGCAAGCTGACAAGTTACCACTTTACAGTCGCCGTCAGTCAGATGATGATCGCTCTGTCTGTTCTCACCTTCTCCATCGCACTGGTGCGGACCTATTGGCGAAATCCCCTTGCAGCCGCTTTTCGATTAATACTTTCCGTCGGAGCCTTCATCGGTGTCGGATTGACGATCTTCAGGGAAGCCAATTATGCTCCGTATGACGCGCTCAAGCACTCGAGCCGAGACAGCGCCATATTACTCCCAGTAGCATGCATGCTGGAGATGGACCTGCGATCAGCGGCAGAAGAGCAAGCGCGTCAGAACCAAGCCGACCTCGGTTTCGGAAACGCAACAGCCTGGCCACCTGAAAGATTCATGTACATCGTCCTCGGCATCGCTTTCATCGCTGCGCACATCTCAGTCCCCATCCGCTTCGCCGAATCCAGAGACCGCGCGCCAAAAGTCTGGACGGATAAGCGTGCATTCGTTACCTTGATCTACTGGATCTTGGTGTTGCTCACACCCATCGTAACGTCGATGTTCTGCTGGTTCCGCGTGTACACGATGCGCGAGTGGATAGCTGGTTCGGGTTGGATGGAGGATCCGAATACGGAAATGATAGTGTGGGATTCGAGACAGTTGATTGCTATGGGCGTGCTTATTACGGTTATCATGAATGTGCTTACTGAGGCGATGGAGAGGGAGAAGAAACACGCGAAGAAGAGGAGTGACGGAATGGATGGAGAGGCGGGAGTGGAGTTGCTGCCGACTGCGTATCGTGGGTATGAGTATTAGGGTGCTCGCGTCTTGAGAATGGTAAAATTTGACGAGCGGATTGTAGCCCTTGAGGGCATGACCCATGATGAAGCTATGTCAGCATCGGATCGGGCTTTGCACGTTGTCAAAAGTAAGTTTCGTTTGCGCCTGAATTGTGACATTGTGTTGGCGATAATGAAGAGTGGGCGCGTCGCGATTTCAAAGCGCGATGACGGCACCAGAGTGCACGGACTCTCGGAGGTTGCGGCGATGTCGACCACTGTATGGTTGTCTCCATTACCACGACCATCGCCGCCCGAGACACGCAGAACCCGGTCGAAGGCCTTACGTAGCTTGCGCCTTCTATATGCGAATCACGACGCTGAGTGCACCTCTTTCCCTACGGATGCGCACACCTCCACCTCGCCCCCAACTGATCGCTGCCTTCCAAGGTTGGCTGGTGCCGTGTGCTTTCACTATTACCGTTATACAGCGACATATTCACACCTAATCTAATAGTTCCCCTGCAGACCGACCCACCACAGAGAGCGTCAGAACCTATCTAAACACATTTACCCTACACATACACCGATTCGACGTCTCGCACTGGCCTCTTCAACGCCCCGCCACCATGTTCACGAGCTTCACCGGCAACACGCGAAAGGCGCGCCAAGTCAACCTCGGCGGGAAGAAGACGAATCCCTTCGGTCCTCCCGGCTCCGGCGCCGGGTCACAAGCCGCCCTCGACCGCGCACAGCAAGAGCGAGCGCAACGGCAGCGGGAACGAGACACGCTCAATGCGGCCAAGCGGATACAGAAAGTATGGCGGGGTCACTCTGCCAGGAGAGATGTGGCTGACGAGCTACGGGGCGCATGGGACCGGGTAGAAGAGGCGAATGGCTCCTCGAGGACGGTGACATATGACTCGGAGGAGGAGGCTCTTGCCCAATTACAACGGCTGCTTCGATTCGCATCCTCACGGAGCGATGACGACCTGCGACGGATACAGCACTATGCATCGCGGCAGATGGAGACAGTCAAAAAGTTAGGCATCACATCCAGCGGGCCGTGGCCGTGGGCATATCTAAGGCTGGAGCGCATCCTACTCGTGGCCATAGAGCGGCAGCTTCAGAAGCACGCGCCCATGCAATGGAATCAGGTTGGGGCCTCTCTCACCGTCTTACAGTTCCTCGCAGACCAGATACCCGCCGAAACGTCCCAGAATGCCGAGCATTACTACCGCACTCTTGCACGCGTCGTGGCCACCTTCACCCCAACACTTGAAACGCAGAGCGAAGGATCGGAGATAAGTGACACCATAGTCAGGGCGGCTCTCTCGCCGATGACGCGGGTGACTGGGTACACACTGGATGCTTATGAGGCTTTCGGTATACACTTCTTGACTCTCCCACTATTAGGCTCGGACTCAACGTCAACACCATTACAAAAGTTCCGCGACTCGCTCGCCGACGCCATCAACTACAAGCTGCTCGCAAATGCACTGGCGACACTTTCCAAGAGAGCAGGGCTGCAAAGCAAATCCGAGCTGAAGAACACATCAAGTAGACTGCGTTTACTAGGAAACTTTATCTATTTCCACCGCTACGCCCACAACTTCGACACTCCCGAAGCCTACGCGGTTCACAAGGACTTTGTAGCCGTCGTATCGGTTCTGTTGAACTCCCTGCCAATCAACATTGTAGATGACGATCATCCAATTGCCGAGCTTTCCGAAGACGACGGTGCCGATCAAGACGCCAGCGCCGTGTCAAATTTCTTGAAAGAGCAAGTCCGCTCCCTGGTACATCAGGAAGGTATTGGAAGTCTTTTGGCTGGATCATCACAGTCAGCGGAAGCTTCTGAAGATGACAAGGTCGAAGAAGCCCGGCAGCTTGCAAACTACGCGCTTGCATTACTTCGCTTCTTCCCTCGTCGCGGTGACGAGATACGAATGTGGCTTTACATCGGTCCATCAGAGGCGTCTGGAAAGAGCGCAAGGAAGCTTCCAGCGATCAGATACTTCTGGGAAGCATCAAAACGATCATCAGTCTTTACCACCATCTTCCGGGACTCAAGGGCAGCTATTGGACTCTTGAAGCCGAAATCTTCAAATCTGAACAACTCTGACCGCCCCGGCACATCTGGACTAACGCAACATGGATTTTGGCAGCCAGCACAACAGCAAGTCGATCGCGACGCAGTCACCACCGACGAATGGCGCGTCATTCTGGTATTCCTCGAACTATACACCTTTGTACTCAAAGTCACCGACGACGAGGAGTTCTTTACGTCGGGGCAGAAAGACATCTACTCGGGCCAGATCCGCGACAGCGGCTTGCCTCTAAGTGAAGTTAAGGACCTGACGACCTTTCTAAAGAATTTGGGTTTTACGCTCTACTTCAACGCAGTAGACATTACAACTTCGGAAGATGACATGGGAGGCAATAACAGAAGTCTTAGCTACTTCAATCCTGGCGTCATGGACAACCAAACCCAGAAAGAGCATGCTGAGCCATCAATAGGTGGTGTCGCAGGCTTGAGGATAGATTACGTGAAAGGGCTGGTCACTGGACTACTTCGTATGGTGTACGAGCGCGACTCGCGACGCAAGTTCCTGCCTTCGGACCACTGGCTCATGGTCTCGCGCTTTGACATGACCGGGTTCATCCCGGCTGTAGTGGAGGAGGAAGAGTCGCGGCACAAGATCCAAGAGGAAGATGCGGAAGATCTCGACGACCTGGAAGAAGAGGAATTCGACGACACACCACAACTCATCGGCACCAGCCGTACCCAGACACAACGACGCTTGGAGAAACTACAACGGCAGCAGCGCAAGGCTTCGCGGAGACGGTACCTGCAAGCCGTAGCACCTCGTCTCGAAATCCTGCAGAACATGCCGTTCTTCATACCCTTCACCACTCGTGTTCAGATCTTTCGCGAGTTTGTTAAACTGGATATGATCAAGCGACGAGGATCTGCGGATCCTGAGTTCTGGCGGTTCCGGACTATGCAGCAGCCAAACGCTCGCAGTCAACTTGAGAAGCATACAGCGAGGATCCGACGAGAGAACGAGTTCGACGATGCTTTTGAGCAGTTCTATGAACTAGGCCAGGGCTTGAAGGAACCAATCCAGATTACCTTCATGGATCAATTCGGCGCTCCTGAGGCCGGCATCGACGGAGGTGGTGTCACGAAAGAGTTCCTCACCAGCGTCACCAGCCGAGCGTTCATGCCGACTGAATATATCGACATGTTTGTTGAGAACGACCAACATCTGCTGTACCCCAACCCCGCCGCAGTCGAAGAGCACAAAGAGGCCCTCCGGCAAGCCGGCATACGCGAGGGTACACAAGAGTACCGTGCCCAGATCACCGAGCTGCTTCAACGCTACGAATTCCTAGGCCGCATCATCGGCAAATGTCTGTACGAAGGTATCCTAGTCGACGTCAACTTCGCACCCTTCTTCCTGCGCAAATGGGCACTAACCGGCGGCACGGGCTCCGCCCCCAACGAATCCGGCTACCGCCCCACGCTCAACGACCTCCGCGACCTAGACGAAGAGCTATACCAAGGCCTGCACAAGCTCAAGACGTACCCCGGCGACGTCGAAGACTTCTCGCTCAACTTCACCGTCACCGACACCGTCATCGTAGACCACACGACCTCGCCCAAGAAAACCAAAGCCATAACCAAGGACCTCAAGCCCGACGGCTCAAACACCCCCGTCACCAACCAGAACCGGCTTGTGTACATTAGTTACATGGCGCGCCACCGCCTGCAAAACCAACCCTACGCCCAAACCACGGCTTTCCTCCGCGGCCTCGCCACCATGATCCAACCCTCCTGGCTCTCCATGTTCAACCAATCCGAACTCCAGACGCTCATCTCCGGTACTCGGACGTCCATTGACGTCGAAGACCTGCGCCGCAACACTATCTACGGCGGCACGTATGTCATCGGCGACGACGGGCTCGAGCACCCCACCATCCAGCTCCTGTGGAAGGTCATGAAGGAGATGAGCGATGATGAGAGGCGTGCGGTGCTGAAGTTTGTGACGAGTACGCCCCGCGCCCCGCTGCTGGGATTTGGTACGCTGAATCCGAGGTTCAGTATTAGGGATGCGGGGAGGGATCAGGATAGGTTGCCTAGTACGAGTACGTGTGTTAATTTGCTGAAGCTGCCGATGTATGATGATGAGAGGACGCTGAAGGAGAAGTTGCTGTATAGCGTTTTCTCGGGTGCTGGGTTTGATTTGAGCTAGGGGGTTGTGGCTGGAGGACGGTTGGATGGTGCGTGGTTGGGGGAGGGGGGTTGATAGATTTGCATAGCATGGTATTATGGGGCTATTATGAAATAGACTTGCATGTTGCATGTATACCATTCGACTACAATTTGATCGCCTTTGAACCTTGTGGTTGTTAGCCATGTGCAGCAGTCTTTCTTCAGATTGCCAGTGATGATTTTATTCGCCACGGGGTTGTTCGTCTCAGACCATGATATAATTGTAGGGATATCAATAGTTGCGGGTTTAATAGCGTATGGTAGCTTGAGTAAAAATTGCATTGTCGCCGTTCCAAGATCCTGCGGCTAGTTACGCTCACTGTTAAAATCTTGTCTCCATTATTTGATTGGGGGGTTTCCGGCATCGTGTATGTTGTTCGTGTTGTGGGAGTCGTAAGTGGCTCGCTGCGTATCGTCCATAGGTCATCGTATGGGTTATCGCAGTACTATGAGATGGGGTGGAATGGGGTCGAGATTTTCGCACACAGATACGAGTCAAAGAAGAGAAAATAGAAACTTCGCTGTCGGCTAGAGACCTAGAGGTCTCGTGTTCTATCTAGGCCACCGAGCGAACTAAACAACATGCCGTAACTTAGGAAATGTAAAGAAGAGAGTGTTATAAGAATCATGAACACGAATCCAGGCCACTTCCAACCTTCGCTGTTTTGCTTCCTCTGAGCCCCGTTGCTTTTCTCTTTCCACCCCGTTGCGAGTATAGTCTGAACCTTGTCGTACTTCGTGTTGAACTCATCTAGATCTTGCTGGGTGCTATCGTTCTTTGCGCCCAAAGGATTTGCGGCCATGACTTCAGATTGAAATTCTCGGAGCAACCTTCGGACCCCCGGACCAGTCACTTCCGCATCTAGGCGGAGCTCGCGATTATTGAGGAAAGCAAGACACAGATCCATCGTATTGTTGGCGAAATCAGATCGTAATACTGAGCTGCGCATGGCTGACCGCAGCTCCACGGTGAGTTTGTTCCAGCAAGTACGTATATCCATGTTTATAGATGCTTCGGCAGCCATATCGAGAATCTGGAGAGTAGCGGTGACGGCATTCCTGGCTAATCCGTCCTTTCGCTTCAAATCTTCGAGGCACCAGCATAGAAGTGAGCTCGTCAGCAAAGTTCGTTGTTCGGTGGTGACGGAGTCGTCCCACAGGACTTTGTCGGCAACATAAATGTAGCATCCATGGATCATAGCAAGAGTTAAGAAGGCAGGCTGCCCTTTGCGGCGAGAGGACGAGACTCCACTCTCAAATCGGGATAGTTCGAATGGCATGTTCCCCGGGTGTGTCTGTTTACGGCGTACCGCGCGCTCCTCGTGGTCATTGGTGGGGCGTCTAGCCTGCAATTCGACGAATTCTTCGAATGTCATGTTCTCCGTGACCTGTTCACGGGATTTCGCGCGCTCCTTGTACATCGTCGTCTTTGCCCAGTGTAGCCTCATTGTCTTCTCCATATCGTCTAATAACTCCGTATGGGGACGAAGGTTACATCCTTCCAGGAACCCGACAAACCTAAGTCCTTGCCGCATGTTCGCAAGAGAACGGTTAGTTTCTGTTACAAGTGTACTTTCCGAAGGCAATGCCTTCATCTCGAGAAGACTTGAAACGAGTAGAGTTTGGTCGACGTTGAAATGAGAGCCAGCTTGAGTCTTCAGTAGGTCCCATATTTCATCAGAGCGGAAGAAATCGATCGCAGTCTTATGGTAGAACTCGACCCATTCATCAATAGAAGACAAGCCTTGTTCAACAACATTGTCTTGGCCTCTGACTTCAAGTAGACCCTTCGTATGCCCATCGATCCTTCTTTTCATCCGTAAGCATAGCGATCGTCGCTTGTTTGACGGCATGGTCCGCACCTCCTCGGTGATAGCTTTTTCAACTGTCGCGTCGTCGTTGTCAGCCAGAGCCAGTTGAAGAGGGCTTATCGGCTCGGAATTTGCCACGTCCTTGCTTCTCAGCATTAGGAGGATCATTCGAGCCGTACCCGTTTGAGTTGCTGGATCTAGCGATCTGAACATGTGCTTGTACATTCCGTGAAGATCCGGCGGGAGCGCGTCGAGTTTGAGTTGCAAACTAGATGCCGTCTCACCATTTTGTAGTCCTTCTAGAATCGAACGAAGCGCTAACACCACCCAGAGAAAAACGCCGGCTGACATGTCGCATAGGCCGCACACCAAGGTTGAACGAAGCTTTGGATCTAGCTCTTCCATTTCTCTTAACCCCCGAGAGTGATCCAGCCTATCAGAGACAAACTTCATCATGTCTCGATACGTCAGGTCTTGTAGCCGAAGCTGAGGCATGTTTTCGAAGGCGTCGTTGAACGCTACCAATGGTCGGCTAGACAGTACCAGCTTCAAGTTGTCGTAAGAAGACAATGTTTCGAAAATGCGAATAAGTTCACCGTGATCTCCAGCGTACTCGTCCAGTCCATCGATGAAAAGGCAAATTTTGAGGCCTTTGGAGTTTTCGACAAGCAAATTAAGAGCTTGAACAAGCTCTGGAAGCGTCCAAGTGAGATCCAACTTGCGTCCTGCAACGATCTCGGTGCAAATTTCGGGAAAGACTGAAGGTATGAGCCGTGGGCATTGCGCAAGTAGCGTGTACAGAAGGCCTCGTAATAGACCCTCGTGAGATGATTGCAGGGTATGACCGGCCGCCCAGAAGAAGAATCTGGCCTGGAGCAACGTAGAGCCATCTCTCCACAAATCAAGGAGCTGAGTAGTCTCAGAGTTTGAGCAGATATACTTCATCAACGTAGACTTGCCGCTTCCGGCCTTTCCTGAAATCCAGTATAGACTGTTCCCACTACGGAGCCATTCCGCGAAATTTGACCAACGACGGTCTTCCTCGGGTGCTTTGAAGATCCATTCATATGTCTCATGATGGGCTATCGCTGTATCGCTGAATCTGCTTTGTAGCCCACGATATTGTAGCGCGGCCAAAACGTTGGTCGAAAGCGGCGAGAATCGCTCGTTGGAGACCGTTTCCACAAGCCCTGTGTTGGACTGATCTCTGAACGTGATTACACGCTCAATTGAGTTGCCAGGAGCCGAGTCTTCTTGGCCGGCAATTGCGAAGTTCTGGTCAGCGACTGAAAGTGTGGTGCCATCTTCAAGCCCCAGAATGACGCGGAGCACTTTCTCTCTTCTAGTATTTTCGCTCTTGCTTTCGGGATTCCCCGTAAGATCGCGAGGTGACGCCGATGATTCTGAAGAACTTTGTGTAAACGTCAAAATCTGCACAATGCGATTACTTGCCGTCTCCAGATTGTTAAGGCGCTGAGTTACTTCTGAAGAGTATAAATCCGTCTTCGCGTTGAGCAGGGCAAGGAGGCGTAACGAGAGGTCCTGCTGATAGCCTTCAAGCCTGCTGACAAGCCCTTCGATTTGCTCTTTCTTCAGAATAGTCCGAAGCGCAATGTTGACACTTTTCCATACGGATCGTTTGTTCGCTTTTGGGATAAGGTCTTCCAGATATTTGATGATTTCCGTTCCAACTTCAGCGCAGCCTGCAATGATGCGGTCAAAGGCCTTCAACAATTAGCACCTTATCCATCCATGCAGTCACACCAGCTGGGCTTAGGATGTACCTCATATTCATCCTTGAGTGAGTCCTTACGACCGCTGATTGGTGCACGCAAGCCATTGACCCAGGATTTGAGCTCCTGTGCTCGGTGCTCGATCTCTGAAACGCCGACAGTGGTACCTTCCTGGTAAATTTCGTGGCCAAGGAGTACAACTTTGACAGTAAAGTCAATGAATGTGACAACAGACGTCGCGATGGAGAGTGCGCTGATGGGATCCATCGCATGACTAGAATCGATAACGAGTTGAGAGATTAGCAAACTCGCGCAAGGCCTGAGCCAGCCTTTATCTAAGCATTTTCACGCGGAACCAAGGACGTCCGACGAGCACTCGCATCGCGACTAATGCTATGCAGCCAGGCTGAGGTGTGCATGGTGGAGATTCCAGGCCCCGGTGGAAGTTGTATTGTGTTTGGTGGTTGACCTATCAGATACTACCTACGGCGATGGCGGCTGAGGTGGCGGGGTCGAGGCTGCCTAGGTATAGACGAAGGCTGAACAGCATGCGCACTGCGTCGGCGTGAGCATGCCTGCGGCGCACTTAGAATCGGCTAGCTCAGTTGGAAGCTCATGGAAGCTAGAGGTATTTGACGCTGACAGTGGGCGATCTGGATGTTGAGAAGGGCTGTCGAAGCGAAGGCGCAGCCTGCGCACGCAACGCAGCCGCACGCTGTTGCCCAGCCCTGAAGGAGCTAGTCTTTATTGGGTTGTAGGCTGCCTACCACCGAAATCCGGACAGACCTTACAACACAATAGAAATGGGCTCCTTCGTAAAGGCCCTGGAGTATTGGACTCCCAATGAACCTCAATGGCACCCCGAAATAAGGAAATGCAGGAATGGTAGAAGATATCCGATCAGTGAAAGCGCTTGGTTGCCATCGCATTCTATTCCATTGCTATCCAACTCAATCCCATCCATAACCAACCCCACCACCCCTTTACTCATCATCCCCATCTCCATCCCCATCCCCCTCCACCCCCGGCGGCAACGGCGGAATACTGAAATCCTCCAAACTCGCCCACTGACTACTCCTCCACCCCCCAGCAGCATGCGTCGCCTGCGTCATCCCAAACATAGGACTACTCCACCCCTCACCCTCCGCAGCAACCTTCTCCGGACTGGGGAAGCTACTCGGTATAAACAACGGCGGCGGTTTCCCCGGCGAGATATTCGGCTGAGAACTAGCGATACGATGCGGTGTTGTGTGCGTGCTGGAAAAGTGCTGAGTACGCTTCCGTCGGGGCGTGCGCTGTGTGATCTCATCCACGGTTGTGGCTTGAGAGGGGTGGTAGGCTGATGGTTGGTGGGTTGAATGTGAATGGGGTGCTGTGGGTTGGGGGAGGCGCGGCGTGTCGTTGTAGCTGAATGCGTCGGGGGCGGCGCGCATGCTTGAGGACTCGGGAGGTCGGGCGTTGATGTATTGGGAGTATGAGAACCATTCGTTGTGGAGTTGCTGCTCTGCTTTGCTGGAGTGGGACTGTTGGGTTTCGTGGTCGGGGGACGGGGAACGGGGGACTTGTATAGATTCGCTGTTTAGATCTGCTGACTGGTGGATGTCTGTTGAGGTGGACTGCGGTACATGTACCTTACTTAATCGTGGAGGTGTTGGGTCCGGTGGTGGGGCATCTTCTTCTTCTTCCGATGAATCGTCGTTGATGATCATCGGGGTGGATGGACAGGTTTCTTGATTGAGGTCTTCAATGACTGGAGGGGTGGAGCGGAGCTGCTCTTCTGGTAAAGGTAGCTCTCCTTCACTACTCATGTTAGCCTCGCTCTTGATTGGCCTCTCTTCATTCGACGGATTTAACGGGACTGTGGGCAGTATTGTTGCGTCGTCGTCTTCGTCATCCTCGTAGTCGTCATCGTCATATCCGGGCTCCTGCTTAACAGCGACGGACTCGGCTACAGTGGAGGACGATCTGCCACTCGACTGCTTTTGCGGGTCGCCAAGTTCGGGAGAAGGTTCTTGGTCACCGCGAAGCTCAGGTAGATCGCCTGATTCTTGTGATGATGCCGAATCCTCCATGACTTTTTCTCCGTTTGTATCAGCACACGCCTGGTCGATCCTGTCAAGTACTGCCTGAGTATCAGCGCCAACGGCTTTCCCAGTTGCAACTTTACGGCGCCCGATAGAAGCTTGCGCATCCCCAACCCTGTGACGTCCTATAGTAGGCAGGTCTTCTTCTATGATACCATCATCCTCGTCTTCGGAGTCTTGTATCGTACTCTCAAACTTCCTCAGTGTTGGTGGTGGTATAGGCGTTTTTGAGGGCATCTTAAACGTCACCTGCTTGCGTTTCGAAGGTGTGTCTGGTACAAGAATTGGGTTATCCGAGCGCTGCTTGAGAGGAGAGCGGTGTAGCTTTTGTGGAGAGACTTGGGTCGATAGTGGCGAGTCGGCGGGTGACTGAGAGGAGGGAATCTCGCGGATACGGCGTTTCTCCGGGGTCGCTAGAAGGCTGAAGCGGGTTTTACGGGTCTTCGCCTGCCCTTGCGGCGCATAGAAAGCTTCCTCCGTGTCTGCGACTCGTGGTTTGTTTCCTCGTCTCGTCGCCCGGGTTGTTCTTGTGACAGGTGCTTCGATAAACTGTGTCGGTTTGTAGCTGTCTTCACAGTCCTCGTCCATCTCGTCCTCCACTGACTGCACCACCAACTCCGGGGTGCCTTGCGAGTTTGCCGTGGGCTCCTTCTTGATGTGTTCATCCTCTAGGTTCTGCTCCATGTCGTTTCCAGCTTCATTTGCACCGTTGTCCTCTCTAACACCATTCCCCTCGACACGATAGAAGCCTTGTTGCGCCAGACGCTGCGCAACAGCATCGCCGTAGGTCTGACTAGCCCTCTCTTCTGCCTCGACATCGCTCAATATCTCGTCTAAGTCCTCATCTGACATGATCTCTTGCAGCCGCATGCCTGGTATCATCTGCGTCAACGTGCGCTGCTTCCCGTCGCTCTTTGCTTTGCTTTTGCCACGTCCACCCCAACTCAGTCGCGAGCTCTGTTTTATGGGCTTGAAGCTGGGCTCTTCGTCTTCTGGCAAAGGCTTTCGTCCGTCGACTAGTTGTGTCATTGTTGATTGTCGCCGTAATGTGCGCTCTCGGTTGGTCTTGGTAGCTGTCGCTTCGTTGTCGTCATCGGATCCGGCTTCAACGCGCCTCGAGCGGCGAGGATTCTTAGGCGTGGCTGCCGTCCGTCGGCGTTTAGATGTAGGTTGCACTGGTTCGTCCTCTTCGTTGTCTTCTTGCTGTATCCCATCGCTGTTCCGCTTCTTCCCCTTCCTCTTCGCCTGCCTCACCGGCTGCTTTTCTTCTTCCTCATCCACCTCAGCCTTGATAGAAACTCCTCCGTCTTCCAGATCCTCCTCCAAATCTGTGTCGCTGTCCTCATCCGAGTCAGCGACAACAGGAGTACCCTGCCTCCTCATCTTGTCCGGCAGGAAGACCATTTGCCGCTTCCCATCGTGTACCGGAGTCGAGCGCCGGCGCACAGTCTTGCGCTTATGTGGAAAGCGCACCTGCTGGGGCACTTTCTTGGAATAGTAGACCTTGTAGTCGGCGTCCTGGTTGCTGGAACGCGTCTTGGGCGTCATGGCGGGTGGGTGGAGCAATCGATAAGTTGGGGCGTTGGAGCGTTGGTCGACGCGACGCGTTGAGGGGACTAGCGCGTCGTCGAGCATGACAGGGGTGTGCGTCATCACCACTTTCGCTCCTGCCGTCTCCGACTCACATACGCTATGCGCGTCAAGGCAGTAAAACAATGCGTCCACATAACTAGAGACAAAGCTTGTGGTCAAAAGATGAATTCTGGTTATATTGCTACATATATATTCGTTTCGGCACCTACGGAAGTCTAGCGGAAGAGATACTGGCTTGCCATCAAAGTGTACCATGCTAAAATTCATGCGGCTCGAGGGTGCGGAATGTAAAGAGACACCTTCCCAAAGAAGCAGTCATGCCAGGTTCAGCTTGCCCTCGCGCTTGTAAACCTCAGCAACCAAATCTTCCCACCATGGCTCGGCACTGGGTAGAATCACAGTGACATCCGAAGTGTCTAAACTCGTGGCCTCGGATGACCTGTACTTCGCATCAAGCCACTCCCATATGTGCTGTATCGTGCGCCATACCGGCGGGACGTTCTAGTAGTGGTTAGTCCGCGCGATGAGAAAGCTGTACAACGCGAACCACTTACGCCTCTAGTGCCGTGGACGAGATCTTCGAACCACGCCCTCACTATGTCACGATGCTTCTGTTCAACCGCGACAATTGCGCCAACGAAGACACGCACTTGCGCATGTGCCGCAGTAAAGTGTGGGCCGGATGTCGCCATACGATCAACGATCCACAAGAGGCGGTCGACAATACTCTGAACATGTGGGTGCCTTCTGGATTTCCTCATGAGACGGCAATACAGATAGATCTGAGCCGTTGCTACGTAACTTTCGGCCAAAAGCTCAGTAGTCTTAACAGCTGTGAAGATCTTGCCATTCTCGTCTAGTTCGCATGAATCCAAAAGAGCTTGAGAAGTGGGGTAGCCGTCAGACAAATCGGAGTATTGCTCGAAGTTTTCCAGGCGTTCTCCAATAACTTTTGCCAGGTTGCGCGCTGCTATCCTGTTGGGATCCTAGACTACGGTTAGGAAACCGTACAGCATTTCAATCGGTATGCCACGTACCTTATACAGCTTAGTGGAGAGATGGGTTATCTGCGCAAAGGTGTGCATGAGTTTTGGACAGAGTCCAGTACATCCAACAATCTTGTGGAGTTCCCGTTCGCCTCCTTCGAGCAGCCAGGTGAAGGAGCATCTGGCCTGATACTCGTCCAGTGGGTAAATCATGGCACTCATGATATTGTAGAGGGCGATTCTGTTGCCAAGCGTGATGCGAGCTCGAGAGCATTGTACGTTGCTAGGCGAGTGGTAATTGTAGAGGGGATCAGACATCTCCAGAACCCGCTCGGCAATTTCGGTAGCTTTGGACCAAGGTGGAGACTCATTACCGGAGTCAGTGGCCTCCCAGTTGATGTTCTGTCAGCAATCAGCTGTTGTTCTAGCTCAGAGTGGAGAAAGCATCGCCAACCTCATTGTGACTGAACAAGACCATCGCCGCAAGAACTGCGTTCTCTTTGCCAGGCTTGCATTTCTCCGTAGCTTGAAGCTCTCGACTAAGAAAGTGCACGGCTCGCTTCCAATGTAGGTTTGCTTGAGTCTTGACCTTCTCCTCCCCCGAGTAATCCAATATGTAGGTTGCCGCCAAAGCCAAGATCGCGTGTTTCACACAGTCGCTTTTGACGGCTATCGGGATGATCTCCTGCAGGTAGCAGTTGTCGGCCTTGATGAGGGTGACAGCCCCGCAAATTGCGATACGATCTGCCAGGTATAAGTGCAGGTCAACAGGAGATGTAAATCAGCTTACAAAACTCGAAAAGCTTCTCATTCATCCCAGTGAGCTTCAACCCTCGCCCGAAGTCTGGTGGCAGACGCGCCAGTCCATCTTGTATAGCCTGATCGACGACAGGTGCCGCATGCTGTGGTTTCTTCCAAGAGAATCTCTGCAGTCGTGCCGTAGGAAACTTCTGCTGATATCTGCTCATGTTCAGGCGAACCTTGATAAGGCCGTCGATATAGCCATCTTCAGGTATAGCTACCGGCACAGTATAACGCCGTAACCGTGGGTGGCTACGGGTCTGTTGCTCGAGGAAAGGATTGACGATGTCAGGAGCCCATGAACGTGCGGGTAATTGGAGAACCTCAGGGCCGAGCTCGGGGAAATTGATTCGGAGCCATTGCGATACGTCGCTAGCCTCGCCAAAGGATGGCGGTCGTCCTGAAAAGTGTCAGTGAATTGTCGGCGAGAGAGGCAGCGGCATTCTAGGCCTCGGCGATGCCTGAACACGGGAACCCGGGCAAACTTACGTCGCTTGCGTGACTCTGCATAAGACCCGTCATGGCTATTCAGTGGGGCGTCTTCCACTGACACAGGAATGAACACATCCTGCCATTGATCGTCCTGGAACAGGCCAGGCTGGTTTCGGCCCTCGCTGTTGGTGTCGATGTTGGTGTTGGGCAGGGTCAGTGTGGGTACGGCGGCACCGCGGGAGGGAAGAGCGACGCCGGCCACTAGTGTTAGCGCACCCTCCGTCTCGCCAGCGCGATGGCGCTTAGAACGTTTACCATCAGACGACATTTCAGTTTATCCTCAATAACCCTCGAATTCTCTATTTGTAATGTACGAATGCGAAATAAAGCTAGCCGGAGCTGCGAAGTGGGTCTATCAATATAGGGTCAGCGTTGTATAACAACCTGTGCTCTCGTTTTCTCAGCCTTGTTGGCTGAAGCTCCCAACCCTTTGGATCGAATCAGACAATGCCCGCATGCCGTCCGCCCGGCATCCATCTCCATTGGTACCCTCCAATAGCAGGGAGTGAGAAAACGAGAAAAGAGGAAACAACGCTAACAATGAGGTGACATTCTGAGGCGCAGCGCAAGTGCTGCAGCCCTGGAAGCTGAACGCTAATTTCCCCACCAGCATGGATGCCTCAACCCACCTGTTCTTTGAGAGTCTCCGCCTTGAGCCAAATTGGATCGATCAACACCTAATGGCCAGTTCTCCCCACTTGATTGCGACTAGCGGGTGGCCTGTCAGCCTGTCGGGATGCCCGTTAACGGACGTCGGCAATTACCTCTTACGGGTGCTACATGCTCTCGTCGCTTTGTCGGAGAGTCTAGTAATGGGAGAAGTTATCTCAAAGCATATAGACGAGCGAACACGGGAATTGGACGCGGAGAATGATTGCCACACTGCAAATTTGTTGGATGACAAACACGCGGCGCTGAGGTAGTATGATTTGTATAAATCGGTCTTATCAGGAAAGAACACTGACACCTTTAAAGAAGTATCAAGGATAGGTTTAACAGAACGTTGAGAGGTTGGTGCATTCATTTACTATCGTACGCTTAGTGTTCAAGCTTCCAGGTATTAATGAACGCAAGCGACAAGGCTCTTTGCTGACGCATGCCAGCAGACTGCGAGACCGAGTGGGTTTTCTCACTACCTATACCGCCTGCAGACCCGGAATTATTCACCGACATCGCTGATCCAGAGCCTCATCCTATCTCGCCTGGATCAGAAGAGGCTTTCATGACTGCCATGACTGCCGAGGCTGCAGACTATGGCATGGGCGATGCAGCGGCCGGAAGTTCTGCAGGCGTTAGCTATGGGCAGACCTCTTCTTCAGATGTGTGGCTGGACGATCCCAATGTCTCGCCTAGCAATACTGGAGAATCAGCCCCAGAGGCGCCATCTATAGAACAACTCAAATCTCGTGGTAAAGGTCACTACACGTGCCCACGAGGTACTGCATGTGACAAGGGTGGTGTGCAGATAAACGGTCAATTGACTGTGTACGAGCGCAATTCTGCTTTCAGGTACGTGTTGATATCCAAAAGCTAACGCCACAATCGGTTGGTGCAAGCCTACCTAGGTACTAGAACCTGGGGAACAAGCAACGTATGGCTCAGCGGCACGGGCTCGCATGCACCGAAATCTTACGCCTATCGTATTACGCTAGCTGACTATGATGATAGGGCGCACTTGCAGCTGCACGAGCGTATGTTCCAATGCGACATACCGGGCTGTACGAACAAGAAAGGCTTCGCGCGCATCGACCAGCTTGAACGACACAAAGCCACGACGCGGCATACGATACCAACAGGTCCTTCCGGCTATCCGGCTTCGTAAGCGAAACTCTTTTCCTCCTTTGCGGCCACCACTTGTATGGTGGATTCAACAAATCAACGATAGGGGTCAGGAATAAAGTTCAAGCATTACATTGATACATCTGCTTCCGCTTGAGGAAGAACGTTTAAGCAGAAATCTTCTGGACATAATCGCCTTTTATAGATTATAAAACATGGGTGGCAACACGGGTATCAAAAATGGTGGTGTACGGCTGTTCCTCTCGATCTCAACAACGCCTCACGTCTCTCTGCAGATACAGTCCTACGCCTCACCCAGCAAAGCCCGCGAATCAAAATCAGGCATGTAATCCGATCCGTTCCTATCTGCAACATCTTTAGCTGCGTGCTCGATGGATCTACAAGCTGTCAACATCTCCAAAATCCGTGCTCATTCGACAAGACTTACCTTAAATGATCTGATTAGCACCAAGCCCCAACTCCAGTCAGATCTGACCAGCCTGTCTCTTTGCAACAATCGAGGGTCTCTTCTGGCTCGCGCATCGATGAAAGTTGCCCCTGGTTGCGAGCTGTCGCAGGGCTATGCTCCGACTGCGTCGGCGACGCGAGCAGTCTTCCCGCTACACGATCGCCCTCGGTGTCACCTAACCACCTTTGGATCGCGAAGTCATCGATCTCGTCCTGCTTTCTCGTGCCAGTATGGTCGCTCAAGGATGAAATCAATGATGAAGTGAAAGAGGTAGTCATGTTGGTCAGGAAAGGTTGGCAACCTCTGATGGGAAGATGGAAGAAGAGCTTTGTTTTGAGAAACTAGATTGCAATAGCTGAGTCGCAGGCTTCTCTGAGGGTACTCATCGCACTTATACACATTTCGCAACCTCATTTCTTCACTATCTGAAACACTTCAAGTCTCTTGGGTGGTGTAGCACACTTCTCCGCCTCACAAGTAGTTTTCTCAATTTCTATAAGCCTATCGCTTGCAAGAACGAATATCCCCTGTCAGACTGAGGAGTATGCTCAGCTTCGACTTTGGTGATCCGAAACCAGGTACACACACAGGGAGGACAGGGCGCGGGACCAGATGGTAGAGACGTGGCAGTGCCTCTCTCGAGTTTGTCGCTTTTGACTTACCGGGATCTGCGCCATACGGCACAATGAGCGGTCAGCCGCAACGACATGTCGGCAGTCTCTATCTTCATCAGATTTCATGGCTGAGCGCTTTTTGTGAGTATGCGCGAGAGATTACTCGCGCTTCTCGATGCCGAAAGCCCGTTCATCGTGAGCTGATTTCATATATGTATTGCAAGAGCCACCATGAGCTGCGAGTTTGCGCTCTGCATCTATCACGCAGTCACCTGCTTTAATCCTCGGTCGCGGAGACATGTGAGCACATGCTATCGCACATGCAATGAATAACAAACCGATCTCTATCCAGGCAACAAGATATGCTCGATGCTTATTCCGCCCTGGAAATACATGAACGCACCCGAGCTTGATCGTTTCGTTGATGGGTGGCAGTCACAACCGGCGAGGCGGCTGAACACTCAAGCGGTAAGCGTTGTTTTCTCAATCGCATCGACACTTGGTCGCGCAAATGGGAGGGCAACGGTACCGCACGTGTGTAGAGCTTGCAATACAGCTAGACGCTCATTCGCTCACGCATGATACCATTCGTGCCTCTGAGGCTGAAAGGCGATAAGCAAAGTAGGCGGGGAACCCTGTCGTGAATTGAGAGAACTTGCAAGCGACCACGGTGCGGCAACCTGCATGCCACCATGGCTGTGCATACACATTTTAGCGCTGAGGAAAGAACGCTAGATGCTTTCGTCATAGCACCGATTACGACTTCTTGCCCGTATCGAATTCGCCATCGCAGCATCACTATATGTATTCAGGCTTCTGATCTACCCTGAGCACCTCATGGTTGCCTTGTCTGGGATAGCCAAGCCCTCGATTCCGTCACACCAAAGCTGTTCTCGCTTCGCTACGTTCCGATTGTTCAGCCACCAATCTCGAACTAGGCAACGACTGCCAAGGTCACTACACACAATGAGCGCCCAGCCATCGCATCTCATCATCGGTGCCGGGGTTTTCGGGGTTTCTACCGCCTACCATCTTATCAAGAAGTACCCTGAGGCTTCTGTACGATTGGTCGATCGAACGCAGTACCCCTGCCCTCTTGCCGCATCCTGGGATTGGAACAAAGTTGTTCGTGCAGACTATGGCGACATTTTCTACATGGAAAAGGCGTTGGAGGCCATACAACTGTGGCGAGATGACCCACTCTTCAGTCGGTTTTACTACCAAAGCGGTATGATCAACATCGACAATACCGAACTGGGGAAAGAGATGTTGCAAAACTATGAGAAGCTTGGAGTCAAGGTTGATGCGGAGATGGCGAGCCCGGAGCGCTTCAAGAAGATGTACGGTTCTTTCTACGATAACACCGATTTCTCTGAAGTCGGCGAAGTGTTCGTGAACAGAGACAGTGGGTGGGCGGAAGCTACCAAAGCTTTGACCGCTTACACGGACGCCGCGATCGAGGCAGGAGTCAAGTATACCGCAGCTGATATCGATGTATTGACATTCGGTACTGATGGAGAATGTACTGGAGTTCTAACGAAAGGTGGTGAAAACATCACAGCAGATCGCATCATCCTCGCTACTGGTGCAGGGACCGCCAAATTGATCGCCGACAGTGCTCCGAGCAGAGGCGAGCTACAAGTCGACGGGCGCCTGGTCGCTGGAGCAGTAGTCACTGGCATCGTCAACCTAGACCCAAAGAAGGGGCAGCAGTATACCGAGATTCCAGTCACAGTACATTCTGTCTTACCAACACGAGGTGAGGAGACCGACGTCTACCGTTTTTACTCTGACTGACAGAATCCAGGGGAAGTGATGCCACTAACAGCGCCTTTGTCGGACCAGGATCCATACACTGTCAAGTTCTGCAGAGATGAAGCCTACAAGAACACCGTCAAACACGAGGCATCAGGTCAAGAGTTCTCCTCCCCACCAAACGAGCCCGGTCAAGCACAGAGACAGCCGAATGAAGCTCTTAAACAGCGACTTGAACTCGTCAAGAACGGCATACTGGGTGAACCCGGGAAGGACGTTAAGTTTGACGAGTATCGTGTTTGCTGGTAGGCTACATCTCCGAACCACTACGATAAATCGGGCTAACAGTTCGTAGGGATGCCGTGACACCCTCTCAAGACTTCATCATCACGCCGCACCCGCATTCTCAGAATCTCTACCTCGCGACAGGCGGTTCTTTCCACGGATGGAAATTCATGCCTACGATCGGTCGCTACGTCGTGGAGATGCTGGATGGTACCCTAGACCCCTCTCTTGCCAAGCGATGGGCGTGGGATCGTGAGAACGAAGGCGGTGCACATGCTCACCTGCTTCCTACGATTGAACTACGAGACTTGTGAGACGGGTAATAGAACGCTCCCAGCACCTCATACAAGGGAAAAACTGAACACC